CGCAAGAACATGTTCTACTCAAGAAATGTTCTATACCTACCTCACGTTAACCCTTTTCTAACTGACTTGTCTCCTGGCTCTAGTTAATTGCATTAATTCTCCCCACTGCGCTCTCTTTTAAATGTGTGTAACACCACCAGCTGTGGTGTGTCTGTGCACATCATCACTGCTAACCTCTCCTGTTGTTGAAACTATTCCACTTCACCTTGTTCCCCTGCCATCCTCCTACTGAAGATTGGGACATAATCTTGTTTAATTATTATTTAATACTTGAACCTCTTAATAAAAATCTCCCTGCTAATTCATTTGTCTGAAATCCCAGTAATGCCCCAGCTCACTCTACCATCAGCTGTGTGTCCCCTCTTACCATTTAGTCTCTTTGCCACAATTTTTGTGCTGTGGATGCTAACAGCTACTGAATGATGGCTTCAGGTTTGAAACATTTCAGAGTCTCACTGTGTGTCCTCTGTTTCTCTATCGTCCTGACCCCACTTTCCGCCAGGTGCTGTACTCTGACAGTTTCCGTAAGCAGGTCCAGGGCAAGGCCGCCTTTGTTCTGGACACACCTGAGATGAGGCGTGTCAGAGAGACCCAGCGCATCATTTCTGGGGTAAGATTGTTTCATTTATGCATCTTAAGTTTTATTTCTACTCCAGTTAGTTCACTTTTCTACTACTTTTCTATTTATCCCAAATGCCAAGAAAAGACCAAAACCGACAATGTGGTAGTTTGTCTCACAACAGTCTATGATGTTCCTGCACTGTCAGTAGAGCCCAGCCCCAAGTTCATTTCCTCTGACTGAAGATGTAAATCTTTGAAAATAGCTCACAAATACGTCCTAAAGCAGCTATGCACTATATTGAGCAGAGGATGAATACACATTTGGTGCTCTAATGAGTATTTTATGAATATATTATATTATTTTATATGTTATAATTTTTGGACAACAATCAGGGATGTGATTTTTCCAGATTCATCTGGATTCCAGACTCTCTTAAATCTCCTCAATAAAGAGGACTGTTTACATGAATATATGTATATTTTATACATTACAAACGCAATATATGATAGATATTAATTTGCTGTCATTTTACACTCTGGGAACATGACAACATTGCATGTGCAATGAGGGATTGTTACAGCAATAACCGATGTGCTCACTTTCAATTCTACCTCCAAATTAAATGGTTTTGATAATCTGGCTAAACTGTTGGCCTGTGTGCGACCAGTCTGATCACCGTTTTTCTAGATCTAAGAAATTACTTTGATTCAATTTAAACTAACACAAACAATGCCTGACATAAGACCCACATTGCTCCAAAGCGCTTCATGTCCATCAATAGTGACTCTCCCGGAAGATGAGGAGAAATAGAGAAAGTGAATTGTGAAAATGGATGGCATTCCCTTTTAAATTCAGAGAGGTATATACAAATATATATATATTTCTAGAGTGGTCCTTGCATATATAAACTGTTGTTACTTTCCAGGTGAGATACCACGAGGACTTTGAGAAGAGCAAGGGCAGCTTCACTCCCACCACCTCCGACCCAGTGACAGAGCGTGTGAAGAAGAACACCCAGGACTTCAGCGACATCAACTACCGCGGCATCCAGAGGCGTGTGGTGGAGATGGAAAGGAGACGTGCCATCGAGCATGACCAGGAGACCATCACTGGTACAGTTACAAGCATGTCACAGTCATTACTTTCATGCCTGTGGACTGTTAGTGTCTTGGGAAATAGAGATATTGACATGAAAGTTAAAATCTACTACAACAGACTGAGACTGGTCACTTTGAGATACAATTTGCCAGACTGATCCCGTATTTGACTCTGTGCCCTCAGATCTGCGTGTATGGCGCACAAACCCCGGCTCTGTGTTTGACTACGATCCTGCTGAGGACAACATCCAGTCCAGAAGTCTCCACATGATGTCAGGTGAGATGAGACATTCAAAAGCATCACTTCATAGAGCTGAATAAGTAGATATGTTTTGCATAAATATGTTTTTTTTTTTTTTAAGATTATAAGATATTGCGCAAAGCAAATAATAATAATAATTATTATTATTATTAATAATAATAATAATAATCTGACTAGACTAAATTAGATTTTGAGTTGCCTTGTCATGGTCAAATTAAAGGACATTTTAAATTAGTACAACTCCTGGTTGTATAAGCAGTTAATGAATGCTTGATAAAGTATAACAAAGCTGTAATCATATATAATATTTACATTACTCACATTAACATGTCTTACAATATGTTTTATAGCATTTATTAACTGTTAGTTTGTACAAATCATTCACACAGAGCCTTAAAACAAGTTCAAAATTCACAAAGACATATCATTACATAAGATTACAACTATGTCCTATTATGTTATCAAGCATAATATTATCTTTATAGATTTGTTATGGATTTTTCATATGGGGAGTTATAGTTGTTGACAAATACAATAATACTTAAAAATGTAACCATGTTATTTTTATTTATATACAGCTAGTAAATGCTGAATAGGGGGTGTTAAAGTGAAGAGTGGCTTTACAAGTATGACATGTCACTGGTCACCAGAATCATTAGGAATATTCATCTAGGGACTGTCAATATTCACAGTAATCTGGCCACTATTTGTCAAAATGGCTTTCTCTGAGCCAGAGAGTGTTGTGGGGGGAGACTTATGACTACCAGTCACGCTGAATCCAAAACAGAATGATCAACAAGTTAAACAGATTTGTACCAGCCATGGCTAATATGATGCAGATGTTACATGTAATCATATAACTGTAAAGACAAGTTTCTATCTGACCTCTGACACTGTTCTGACAGTGCAAGCTCAGCGTCGTAGCAAGGAGCACTCCCGCTCCACCAGCGCCCTGAGTGGCATGGCTGATGAAAAGTCTGAGGTGTCCCAGGACGCCGACCACCACATGTCCAGCTACAGCAACGGATTCATGACTTCCTCTATGGGTAATAATCCAAAATCACCACCACAAACACAGAATATTGTATCTTGTTATATTGTGTATTATATCATATGTTACCAAACACCACAGAACAGGTATGTGGGGTTTTTAGCTTCACTCTATTGAGATCAGACTGTGGCATATCTGTGTTTTCATCTGTAGGTTACCAGCATGCTAAGACTGTGGAGCTGCAGCAGAGGTCATCATCAGTGGCCACCCAGCAGACCACGGTCTCCTCCATCCCCTCACACCCCTCTACCACCGGGGTTAGTAACAGACATCCAGTTCACACACACTACACAATCCAGCACAGAAAGCTTAAAGAGTAACATAACTCCCCCCCTCCAGTGGTTCAACTTCTCATCTGGCTGCAGTGATGAACATACGTACCTTTGCATATTCATATTATGAGTTCCCTATCAGCAGCATGACTCAAATAGCTATCTACTGAAGATGTAAATCTACTCGTCACAAGTATAATTTTATGTTTAATAATTTTAAAAGGTTCCAAGAATGCTGGGCACTGTAGTTTTGTTCTTAAAGTGGACTATTTTCAGTGGCACATTGATGTATTTTTAATAGTTTTTGGACAACAATGGAGCTCTGTAGAGGAATAAGATACATCGGACTTTGGATACACACAAAAAATACTAAGAAGAATTAGAAGGACCAATTCCTTGCTGGTTTTGGTCTTTTGATGGGATGTACTGACAATAACAAGAATATACAATATCACTCGCACCCATATATATCACACACACTGACCTCTTTTCTGTATTCTGTGCAGAAAACTGTGCGTGCCATGTACGACTACGGCGCAGCCGACAACGATGAGGTGTCCTTCAAGGACGGCGACGTCATCGTCAATGTGCAGTCCATTGATGAGGGGTGGATGTACGGTACTGTGCAGCGCACCGGCAAGACCGGCATGCTGCCAGCCAACTATGTTGAAGCAGTTTAAAGACAAAACCCGCCCATCATCCCTCCAGAGTGGGCGAGACACATCCACAGGGCAAACTGATTGGTCTCCCTGTGATCACAACGTGGCTTAGTGCAATGTGTAGCTTTTAGTGTCTTGTAGCTCTGTGACTGTGTTTTAACTGTTGTTGGTAAGTCTGTTATCATTCATATGCTGCTGCCCCTGTTGCCTGTGGATGTGAAATAAGCATCATGATGTGACACATATAAATATTTCTGATTATACATACTATGCCTACTATGAATGACAGACTATTTTAGATTGTTTAAACTGTTCTAAGACACTGTCTTGGAAAAGCAAGACTCACTAACATAAGTCCTGGCCCATTATATTGTAAATTTAAAAAAAATATTTTCTGTCCGAGTTGTACTGAGAGTATTTTCTCATGAACACAATGGGCTCAAATAGTTCCAATTATTCCTTTAAAGGAAATTCTATAGAGAGACAAAGATATGATTAAAATAATAAAACTTCTACAGAAAGGAGTTAGTTACCATCTACCTCCTCTACAATGAATCCACTCCTGAAGGGTTGTATGAGACAAGCCTCAGTCTTCCCTCCTTTATACTGAAGGCTGGCCACTAGTAGAATGTGTGTTTTGTTTCTTCCGATGATTTAGGAATAAGGCACGTCCTCTACCTTTAATCAGTAGCTAATAAAGCACACCAAGCTCCTGCAGCACTCTGCCTCCTTCTTTTCATTCTGACCTTGGGCATCTTCTTCCACACATTTTATTCACAGTTTCTCTCTCAGTGGTCTTTAGGTGGTAGCTGCTGAATGGGTTTTATACTGTAGTGCATTTACAGAATAATAACAAGGGTTCGCCCAATCAAAAACACAGAGACTGACAGAACGTTTTATCAGCCAACAGAATTCATTTTCTACCCATAACATAGACCTTTATGATAGGAAATCTGAAGGCTTTTAAAGGCCTCTCCTCCCCGGGTCAACTAGTGTGAGAGAGAGAGAGAGAGAGAGAGAGAGAGAGAGAGAGAGAGAGAGAGAGAGAGAGAGAGGTGGTCGAGCGTAAAGCTAGAAGACAAAAGAGAAGTGACGTCTATATTCAATGTCTTTTATTCAAAGGACGATTCCAACATGTTGTCTTTTTTCTGCTTTCTGCAACCGTTTCAGATCACTGTAGATTATTTTCCAGTAATTTGAAAAAGTTTAAAAATATATTCATTTGGAGGTGCGTGCAGGTGAGAACATTTAATATTAAAGAAACAGAAGTTATAAAATCAATAAAAAAAGAACACTGAATGCATTCTTGTCCTTAATGCTGCACCGTAAAGGATTATTGGTACAACTTTCCAATCATTGCCTTTATAAAGGCTATCAAACTGTAAGTTATAATTAACTAAATGATCAGTGCTTTATCATTTACGTGCGCTTTATAGATAAGTCAGAAGCCATTAATGGGAAGACATTTTGGGTTGTCAGGTTGTGAACATCTCTCAGGACTTGTTTGTCTTTTTAGCTCTTTAGTTCATCAGTTGACTCGCTCCAATGGACTGTTTGACCTCTCAAGACTTGTTATAAAACCCTTTATTATCAACTTTATTTTACATTTCTAATCACAGGGTTAGGGTTACTTACTAACTTTGGCTGTTGGCTTAATATACAATGAGAAATGTCAATTAAAAGTAAAAAAAACCCTGATTATTAATGACTTACTTATATAACTGTAGATAATAGTCTGTTGTATAATAACAGACCTTATTGACTTATTAGAAAGCGAGATACCCGTTACCAATTATTTATTACACTGTTAATGACAATGAATGGTTCATCAGAGATGTTTCACACCCTGCAAACCCAAATCAATTGCTTATAACTGGTCTATAAAAACTTAGTAAATGATTTATTAACCTTTAATAAAGTAATTAGTTACAACTTATAAATACTAATATAAAAAGGTGCCTTATTAGAAAGTGGACATTATTTGTCCACAACACAGTATAACTGCAGGCATCCACATGGTGACATAAGAAGGCAATAATTTGAATTTCTTCAGGCCGACCACGTCTCTACTGATGGTGCTGGCTGACACCAGTGAGTCAGCTGTTACATGGTCTGCTGCTCAGATTCAGAGCTTGGCTCAAAATGTTTTAGGGAAAAAAAAACTCCACTCTGTCAGTTACAGGCCGAAGTAGGTCAGGGAGTCACAAAAAATAAGTCGTGCCAGTGTGGTTGAAATGCCTACAGTCATATTCTATTGATATATAAACGTCAGTGATAACTTTAAGGCTCTGTAGCTTCCTGCTGTCACATTGAGTTGAATGATACTGATATTGTGGTTTTCTTTGTAAGACGGTCGGCTTGTGTCGAGCCTCAAGAGTCCACAGTAAGAGTCACCTGGTCCCTTGGTGCAGAGTGAGCAAACCTGCCCGCTGGTGATACTGCTTCTCCTTGGCCACTGCGATCTTGGCAGACAGATCCACCGGCTTCTCAAAGAAGTTCACCAGTGCCTGTTCGGTCAGCAGGGACGCCAGGATCTGAGCATAGCTGACTGTCCACTCGCTCTCTGCAGCCGGACTCCCGTCGCCTCTGCTGGCGTCTTCAGCCGTCTCCTTCGCAGTCTCCGCTCCTCTTGCCTCCTCTTGGCTGGTGACCTCTGACCCCGGCCTGTTTCCACGGTGGCTAGCCTCGCCAATCTGCAGCACAAGACTCGTTACTGTAGCGATGGCCTGGAAGAGGTCGTTCTCCTCTGGGTCGCCGTGGAACATGCTGTAGAGCGTTTTACAGAACTGGATGAACTCGCGCTGTGGAGGGAGACATGATACTTTTACTGAGTAACTGATTAATGCTGAAACAATTGGCCAACACTGATTAGTAGATTGATAGAACATTACATCAAAAACTTTAATCAAAATATCCAAAAAGTGATTTTTCAAGCAAAAATGTGGAACATTTCTCTGGTTTTAACTTTTCCAATATAACAATTTGCAACTTTTACTCTTTCAACATTCATTATCAATGTAAAGTCATTATCTCTGTCACATAAAACAAGTAATTTAAAGACGTTTCCTTGGATCTCTTCGTGATGGGCATTTTAACATATTTTTGTATTTTCAGTCTGGACTGAATGCCTTAGTTTGACGACATACATTTTTGTTGCCTTTTCTGTTTTGGTACTTCCACTAGGGGGCACCAATGTCAGAAATATCTATTCTCTGTATATAGTAGATTCTATACACTTAATTTGACCAATAAAAGCCATGAATATTACAGTTAAACTTTCATGTTCAAGAAAAAATTTGCACACTCTTTCTAGACGTGAAATAAGGTTTGCACCACTAAAGGACGAGGTTTTGGGTACAGTACAACACTGGTACAGCGTGCTCCCAGTACCTGGTTCATGAGCGGCAGAGGCTTCTCCACGTCTTTCTCCTTCTCTCTGGCCAGATCCTTCAGCATCTGCTTCAGCTGCTCCTGGTAATCTTTCACTTCACCTTGACCATCTGGAGCAGCTGTTGGCAAGAGTCACATTTCAATCAGCCAGACACAAACAACCTCTGAAACACGTACTGTACATTTACATCAACCTTGCAAAGCCCATTGTACATTGCTCTGTGCGCTGGTCTTTAGCTGTAGTGTTGTGTCTGGCTAATAAATCAACAGCTGGTGAATGGTGGTGTGTTTGCACTGACCAGAGGGTAGATTCACATAGAGGGGTCTGTTTGTGGACACCAGGGGGCTCTTCATCAGAGAGGGGTCATCTTCACTTTCTGTCAGAGCTGCAAACACACACACACACACACACACACACACACACACACACACACACACACACACACACACACACACACACACACACACACACACACACACACACACACACACACACACACACACAAGTTAATCGATCACTTACAGCCCTACAGTTTGGAACTCCACTTTGCCTCTCATGGTTTTAGCAGACTGACTAACCTGGTGGGATGTGCAGACGGTACAGCAACCTTATCTTCTCGTTCAGCTCTTCACAGTACAAAGTGTCTGAGAGGGAGATAAAGAACAGAGGCTTAGAAGATGTGAAGATGTGGAATATCCACACCATAACACAGACACAGGGAAGGTTGAAGTTCCTCTCAGCATTTAGTAAATTAAATGCTTTCTGTATTTGATCCAGTGACACATTTGCAGCTTGTATGAAATGTATGATATAAGGTGCTTCACTTCTGTGCGAGAAAAGCACAAAAGTGAAGCACCTTATATCATACATTTGTTCCTTTGCTGTTTAAAGGTTCAGTTCAAAATAAAAACAGATGTTTCCACATACCCCTAGAGGTTTCTAGTAAAGTAAACAGATTTAGTTCATTTTGGCCCGATTCATATCATTCTAGAAAAATAATAAACTTAATGACGATGCCTAGAAATGAGGTTTGAGTATTAAGGAGCCAGAAGAGAACAGCGCAGTGACAGCAGAAGCAAAGGTTTTACAGTTTTGGACCTGGGATCAATGCAAGCCGCTTGTTAGTGGAGAAACCCTACAAATACTTGTTTATAAGACACTGTGAGGAGTCTAAATCTGCCTTGATTCTTCCTGTCTGTCTGCCCTCCCTTTGCGTACCCAGCCAGAAGGCAAACTCTTTAAAGGTGACCAGATTGCTGCAGTCCTGGTCCAGCAGGGTGAAGGAGCGGTTGGCCAGCGTGTCGGTGTGCTGGTTCGAGCCACCGGGCCACGGCACCAGCAGCCCGAACAGGCTCTTGAACTGGGGCCGGTCCAGCCGGTATTGCCGCTCCATGTAGGAGCCAGATTCACCGTAACGCCACGCTGCCGCCTCCGCCGCCGCTGCAGAGCTGCTGTCGCCCCAGTACAGACTGATGAAGTGCTCCGTCTGGAGGGAGGTGAGGAGAAAGTTGCAATAGATCACGTTGTTGATAAAGGGAGCTGGTTGATGGCAAGAGGGATGAGAAGATACCTTGAAGAGGTCGTAGACATCAGCCAGGTTCTCTGCAGAGATGGAAACGTCTGGAGTCACCACTCTAAGCTGCACGCACGCGCACGCACACGCACACGCACACACACACACACACACACACACACACACACACACACACACACAGAGGGGAGAGATGGAGGCTTTTCATTAGTTTTAGAGTCAGACTGTACAGAGATTGAGTGTGTAACTCTCTTCGTCTGCTCACAGCGTTTTCTTTGGTGGTGTCCTCGTGAGCCTGCAGCACTTGGATTCTGTGTCGGCAGCGAAGCCTCTCGATCTGCCTCACCGTCAGGTCACCGAATTTCTGACACAAAAAAACAGCAGAGAGTTAATGGAACTTCAGTGCAAAAGCCTCTACGATTGATGGACATTGTATTTGAGTAAAGGGTCAGTGCTTTAAAAATAATACAAATCATTTGCTATAAAATATAAAACTGTAAACATCACAACATAAAATGTGCAGATGAATTCAATCAGTCTCAACAATTATATCTGTGTGCTTCTCACCTCGTAGGACTCATTAATGAGGTCGGTGATGTTTGTGTGTCGCACAGCGGGAATATCTGTGTCACTGCTGGTCTCCAATGCAGGGGGCTGCGAGGATGGAACACAAGACGACGCTTCACTTCCGACCTGGTCCAGAAAACTGCAAAGCAGGTAGTTCACATTCTGTCATTCCTAATCTTGAAAATGTAACAGTTAAAATCGAGCATTTTCAAAACTCTCTAGACTTTGTACGAATCTCGGTTGCTGCACAGCTGTTGGACTGAAATCCCCCATAAACAACAAAAACCACTGATTGTAAAAACACTGCCACAGCCATTTCTACATACCGTTATTTTCATTAAAAAATACTATTTATTATAAAATACTATTAAAATTTTTTTTCATTATTTATTTTTTGCTCTGTTCATAAGACTGCAAACCTTCACAGAGTTTTAGAATTTTCTGCTACAGATGCAGAAATGTCAAAGTTATTATGAACATACTTGAAATGAATGCATCTAAAAGATCTGCGTGCAGAATGTTTGTGCAAGAATTTGTGTTTTGTGTGCAGTTACTGACAGCACAGTTTAGATTTACTATTAAGATGCAGTCACCAAATCAGAATCACAAAACTACCTTGTGAGAATCATAAGTGCCTGTCCATCGTCTGTGCTGGCAGAGAGCTGCGCAGCATTGGCGTCCAGTGCCGCCAAGCCCAACTGGAAGATGGCTTTTATCCCATGGAAGAAGAAGCAGTCAACCACGCAGACGGCGCTGTGGAAGGGCAGGACGCTGAGGAACAGGGTGAGGAACCAGGAGAGGGAGACGGAGGAGAGGGCGGTGAGGTCCGGAACTTGTTCAGCCAGTTCTGGCAAACGCTCCCTGATCAGCTCCTCGAACACCGACTGGTCCACCTGAGCTCCTACAGGGGGAAATAATGGAGTCAGGCATTAAGCATGGGAAAGTGTGGTTGTGTGAGTCTGTTGGTGTGAGGATGGATGGGTTGCAGGGTGGGCTTGTGCATAGACCTGTCTAAATTAGACATTTTGACAGTGCTGATACAATATCTGATATATCTGGTTTTTCAATAAACAAAAGTTCAAACATGTTAAATGTTTAAACAAAAGCTTTTTTTAAAATTAAAATCAGGAAATTATTCATCTGAGCAGATGCCAGATTTCTGTAACTGAGTTCTGCTTTAATGTACTAGTTAAGTTACATATTAGGTATTATATAGTTTTGACCACTAGATGGCAGTAGTAGTGTATTTACCTAATGTACACAATGCCATTGTTTTTCTTTGCTTTGCTAATGGGCTGTTAAAAAGATTATTGCATTCATTCATACATAGAAACAAAAACAATAATTATTTTATCCCACTTAGAAGCATGATGAAACCACCTTTGTAATAAAATAACCTTGTTTTTTTCCATTGTTGTTTTTTGTCTTGTTTTTCTGGGTTACTGATAATAAAGCCTCATCCTTTAAGTCTACGCCCCACATACACATTCTCAGAACACAATTGCTGCCATTTCAAAGATGGAGAAAAAACAACCACAAACATCTGGACATTAACAGAAAGAGGAAATTGCTTCAAATGCACCTTGTAAGTCAAAAATAAACAGCTTCACAAACACAGGAAATAAGCCCTGATTTCAGAGGCCAAAAATAAGCCTTTTGGTGGTTTGCTGTCTGAGAAGCAGCAGTTTAAACAAAACAACTGTAATGTAAAACCGTTTGAAGGTAGATTGCCTTTAAATGGCCAGCAAACAACTTGTGTGCTTTTTTTAAACAGTTACTGTAAGTGAAGTGAATATGAAGCAACAAATGTCTTCTATCTTGACCCCTGAGCTCTGACCTATGACCCTGCGGTTGAAGTAGTCAGGCAGCATCCTCTCACAAACAGCCACCAGCAGCCAGAAAGCTTCTTCTTCTTTAGCGTAGAGCAGCAGCACCGACGCCAGGATGTTCATAGACTAGACAGGAGGAAGTTGAGACACACACACACACACACACACACACACACACACACACACACACACACACACACACACACACACACACACACACACACACACACACACACACACAGTGATCAGAAGCCATTTAAAGACAGCCAATAAATTCCAGTTGCACTGCTGTGATTATGTTAAGTAAGAGATAATGCATGTGGCAAATGTGACAAATGGAATGCAATATGGAGGCTCTTATACTGAACATATTACATTTTACATTTAAAAAATCAATATAGAGATTGTTAAATTAGCAAATAAGTCATTTTATTTCCATATTTTCTTCATAAGTGATGAAATAATTATCACATTTCAAAATAAAATAGCTAAATAATTTATTAACTTAAATAAACTTTTTTCTGTTTATCCAATGTAACTATGTTTTCTGCCTACCATGTTCGCAGTTTGTTTCGTTTACAGTTTTTATTTCATGATTGCTGTCATTTGAGCATGTGAGAACAGTATATCTGTCCAATCTACGGAGCAACAACAGGAGCTAAATCAATAAAACTACAAAACTATACAACCAGTGCTACCACTGACTACCACTGGTACTCCTGTCACTACACCAACCAATGTGCCAACAGTCGCTGCCCCTACCAACCCTAGTGCTACTCCCAATGACCACAACTGCCAGTGCTACTGTTTCTTCTTCTGCTGCTACTAGTACTTGTATTTCTGCTACTGGTTTCCACATGCCCCCACACTGATTGAAATCCTACTTTTGCCCACCTCACTTTTACAGTTTGATTTACTCACAATGTGCTCTTGCTGTCCAGCTGTCATAAGGACACCTACAAATACAATATTTATCATTCATAAAGTACAGTATGAGGTCTCTATCACTAGGCAGGGTTAGGGTGGGGTATATTTTATCATTTTTGACTATAATATCATTTTAGAAAGCATGATAGCCACTTTGTGAATAATATACTTGCTTGATTAATAAATCCATAAATGCAGTAGAGAAACATTCAAATACTCAGGTTTTTTTTCTTCCTGTGACCTTTGAATTCACACACTTCTGAAACCCAACCTACATGCTTGCTAGTAATATCGCTACTATTAGTGCTACAGCAACCCACACACAGTCATATATTGCTGTAATATGTCTACAGCCACATCATTATGATCAGATCATCACCTGGCAGTATCCGATCTTGGGGTTGCGGTGAGCGTAGGCGGTGAGGACACGTCTCAGTGCAGCAATGCCGGTGGGGTTTTGAAAGGCGGGGTGGTCCGGTAGAGAGCGGTGAAGGTCCCGCTCAATCTCCTCTGTGGCCAGGCTGCTGTGACCCATTGACTTCTGGACCAGGCCGGTGTAGTAGCCCTGGTGGGACTCTAGCTCTGAGGAGGCATCTGCACAAACCAGAGGAAGGGATGCTGTGAATAGGCAGGAGCAGTAGGTTTTCCAAAGCATAAAATGACACCAACAGCTCTCAACTCTCATCCTTTGGCACATTATAACATAACAACAACAAAAAAACCACATGCTGTTTGGTCATTGATTATCCATCCCAAGTATTTTCATACCTCTTGAAAAGCAGAAATCAGACGATGAGCGACAGTAGTGAACTGGGAAGAAAAGTCAGAGCCACTAATGAACTAACAAAAACAACAGTTTAGAGTTTGTTGTCTCATAAACAACAGGTGGTGTAACGCCGGGCACGTCTGTGTGAAAGAGCGTGTCTGCAGCCCGGACATCGAGCTCGTCGCCGTCGGACTTCGTCCGTGTTGTCTGCCACGGGAACTTTCCAGTGTTGTCGCCATCACTGTCTATATTCCTCACAGTGGTCTTCATCATCACCATCACTGTTTACATTTATGATGTCCTATTTATTCTCCTGTACAGCACTTTGGTCAACTTTGGTTGTTTTTAAAGTGCTTAACAAATAAAGTTGGATTGGATTGGATTGGATAAGCATATGCAACATTTTGACGATTCAAATAAATCTAACAATATTTTTTTCACTCTCTGTTACAAGATGAATCAAGGCCACAGTAGATCCCAAAAACTAAAGTCACTTAAGTATGACTAAAGTGAAAAGCATTAGGAGGAAGGTCGCTTCCTGGGGCTTGCAGGATCAGATCATCCTGTGTCATCGTACATACAGTAACACACATCACCTGCCCCGAGGGAGAATGCTTGGCGGTCACATAGGTGTGAAAGTCCAACCAGTGTGTTGTTTTTGTGCTATTTTTTTTGCATGTGGGAATTAGATCATTCTCTATTTAAAACTCCTGACCCCCATCAACAATCCCTCTCAAGTCAAAACACTAGGAGAGACAAATAGAGGTGAAAAAGGGAAGTCAATGTTCTTGATTTCTTGATGAATGGCTGAAATATGAGAAATATCCCTGTTTATTTCTATATTAGAGTCTTTCTTTCTCTTCCGTGAGCAGGATGTGTCGACACACTCACTAATGTAACAATTCATGTGGCAGCAGAATATAACTACTTTTCATAAATCGGTTCAAGCTTTGGCAGCTTGTCAGATATTTTATTCTTCTCTATTTTTATATACTGTAATACAGAGAAATACTTATTTTTATTTTTATGAATCAGAGCTCTTTCTTTGGGTTGAGAATATACGTGCACAGGTAATGTGCCCAGGAATAACACAATAGGATAGACAGTAAATATAATTAGGTACTGACATAAAATATATGATCATGTGAGCGTATTGTTCTTTGTGTTTGTAAGACACTTTGTTCCCCGATATTAATTTCCTTTTTATTCCAGGTTCGGTTTCAGTTCCACACCAGCTTCCGTCATTAGTTTCAGTTTCAGTTCCCAAACCCGACTCTTCTTCAGTGAGACAGAGCTGAGGAACTGACAGCGAACCAAGATTAAAGCCAGCAGTTTGGTTTTGACTGAAAAGTGGTCTGAAATGAGTGTGGAGCTGCAGCAGATGGAGGGAAGAGGATGTGAAGCCCGAGCTGTGGTCAAACCCAAACTCCCTGTGCTTCCTTGTGAGGACCCTCCAGAGATTACAGTCACTCTGTGAACACACTGAGTCCAGGTTTGGCACACGTTTTTGTGTCCGTTTGGCCTACTATCCACACTAAAGCCAGTGTTTGCCTCCCCCTTCAAATAAAGAGTCTTTTCAAAGGCCTCTGAAGGTACATCTGAGTCACAATCACCAGTCAGCAATGTTTAGTCTCCTCCATTTTTCTTTGTAATGTCACAATACAGGTCTTCTCCCCAACATGTCTTCCTTTGTCACGACTGTACCAGTATAACCAGTATAACAAGGCTCTTAATGTAGCACCCCAAAAAAATAACATAGTCTCTAGTTTTTTTAGACATACAAAAAGTATAATTTCCACATTACAATCCTTAAAAAGGCATTTACTCCTTCTACCTCAGTAAAGTTTTCCTGCTGGACACAAGATGTCTCCTACACTTTCTCAGTGGATGTGCACTGGTGGATTCAAGTTTCTACATCACACTGTACAAGTTGCATACTGGACCAGGATTGACAGAAACTATGTCACAAATCATAAAAAGCTTAAAATCAGATTTTCACTGAGCTCAGAGAAACTTTCCACTTCCAGCAGATGAATGTGAAAACATCCTTCTAGAGACAAACTCTGCACAGACATCATTCAAACATCACACTGTAGAAACAAGAAGAGAAACAGTTCCTCCTGACACACAGCCCTTTAAAGAAGTCTAAAAGCATACAAACAGAAGTCCCTGTGATTTCAGCCACTGTGTATTGTAATTTTACCCGAAAGAGTCATCCACAGCTCCCCTCGCAGTGACTCTGGTATCCCCATGGCAACAAGTCTTTGGATCTTCTCGGTGCGGAACATGTGGACGCCGCGACCGAACTCTGTGAAATGATCCTCCCACCGCCGCTCCTTCACCTGCTCCATGCTCTGACACAAACACACACAAACATGCTGACTTGTTGACGTGCTGAGGTTTTCAAATGACACTGATTGAGACTCACGCACCAAGTGCCAGCAGTGGTTATCATTCACAGCAACTTATGACTGTCTGCACGTCATGGCTAGCGGAGAGAAATTGTGTTTGCAATTTGGGTGCAGCGATATGTTTAAAAAGGTACAACTGGGAGCTGATTGAACTCTTAAATCAATTAATTTGTCACTGAAAATGTGAGTTTGACTCTACCTTGCTGCCGTTGGTTCCTGGTTGGTTTTGGTGGAAGGCTGTCATCAGAGCCTCGCTGTTGACGGTGTTACGCAGAACCTGCTCCTCTATCTCCTCTTCATCAGAGAACCCAGTGTCATAGTAGAAGGTGTAGTAGGGTGTCGGGGAGCTCTGAGGAAAATGTGAGGGAAAAGAAAACATCAGTTTCAAGGAGAAATAGTTTTACATGTGAAAGCAGTGGAACTTCTTCCTTTTACCATTAAAAGCTTCATGTTCAGGTGTAACTTCAGGCTCACTTTTCCTCTCATATAAAAACATTTCAATTGCACTTACAGTACAAAACTATTGGTGAAATTAAACCAAACAAATACAGTTGTGAAATGGTGTTCCTCTGACTGCTATACCTTATACCTTATTATACCTCCTGCCAACATGTCCCTTCTTTGCCCAATCAGTGTACTGGTATACATCCTTGCCCCATGACTAAACTTTTACAGTTCCAGAAATATCCATTCAGATGTTCTGAGTGAACATCACACGTACCATACTCCTCTTGCCATCTTTCCTGCTGCGGAACATGGACTGTTTCCACTGCAGGGATCGCAGTCTGGAGTTCAGGTTTTCCACCAGCTCGTCTCTGTCCTGCAGCTCGATCAGCTGGAAGGCCTTCTTAGTCCGAACGCTCACTATGACGGGGTTGGGAAGCAGGCTGGTGCTCTCTGCTTTCTCTATGGACAACACCTGATGGGAAAAGGGAGGAAAAGAGGCATCAAACCACCATCAATTATTTCTCATATAAAATGAGAATTATAGGCAGGTTCCAAGTGCTTGTTTCAGAATCGGTTGAAAAGAAGCAAATACCAAACTGAGATTAAAGGGAGTGCACAGGGAAGCACAGTTTAAAAAAAAGTACACAATTAATAAGTAAATTAAATTAATTTATGAACTCAGTTCATCAACATAAATAATCTGGATTATTATTTCAGCAATAAATATACAATTTATACACTTGCTACTGTATTTGGGCAATATTGACCAAATAAATTATCCCAAGATTTCTGACTTAATACCTACCAGTTCATTTCTCTCACTGTAGCGTTCACATAACTGTAACACAGCCTTTAAGATGAGAAAAAAACTCTAGTATTAAAGCCTAGCTCTACAGGACATGTGCAGGAACAAAAGGGTTAAGGATAATCTGGGGAAATATTCATAGTAACGGATTGGGTGGGGAGCGATCATATTTTTCTAAAGACAATGCTTCCACAGAAAACAGAGGAAATGGAGGATTAAATGGCAACAGTGGAGGACAGAAAGTATGACTCCTCTCATTGTTCATGAGCATCTGGCTGCTAATCTCTGCTTTTCACAACACACTAAACTCAAATAGGCCACTCAAATCCACCACTTTAACAATGATAAAAGCATCCATGTGATGATCAGTTCATATGTCAAAAGGTATATCTTTAATGCTGATAGATAACTATTGTTTTCATGTGATAGAATAGCCAAAAACTTAACTTTACTTACACAAATTCATCCTTGTAGCAGCCATTTATTCTTCTGACTTTCTAAAAGGCTGAACTTGTCCTTTACCAAAGCAAGCATGCAGGCTTACTGCAGCAAATAAAACCCCCCTCTGCATTATAAGTGTGCAAACATCATCTGCCACCTTAAACCAGTCAATGTGTTACTCTTTAACCAGCAGTTGGCAGAGTAAACACAGACTGTTTAACAAACTCACCTAAAAAATACATGACCATTACAGAAAACACTTAAAGGCCTCCTGAACTCTCAGATAAAGGGTCTTTAATAAAGTCACTCGAGGTAAGGCGGAGATACCACATAGAGTTCATGGAAACTTCAGTGAGGCTGTGGCGCAGGTACTGTACCTCTGAGAGGGGTATGAGCAGGATGCAGTTGCCTTCCTCTCGGCTGGAGAAACACAGATAACTGTCAGTGGTGTAGAGTGTCCCGGCTTTATGGCAGCGTGCATGTGGTGTCCATACCGAACAGGAGGCCACCTCATGGAGTTTTTCACCACGAGGGAGCCGAAACAGAGCGAGGACATACTCTCTTATTGCCTGTTCTTCTAGGATCCTGGGAAGGAGATGATGAGAGGAAGAGTTGAGTCTTCAGGTTCAGTCAGACGTGCACATAGAGCTGTAAGAAAATGTCCGCCTCTCATCCCCATTGACTTAAAACTACACAAATGGCAAATGATTAAAGTATTACTTCTGGCCCTACTTTGAGATCTTGCAGTTGACCTTTGCTGAACCCTGAACCTTTGGCCTTGTCCAACAGAAGTACTTCACAAAGACACTTACGTCAGTAAAGTGACCATTTAGAGCAAATGGATTTGACAAAAAAGGCTCTGTTCTCTACGAAGCCGAGCAGCAAAAAGGATTCTTCTGGGAGAAATGATCCCCCTTAAAGAACAGCTTAACATGCCCTGAAAATGCTGAGTGGTTTAATCTCTCACCTTGCTGCAGTGATGTACAGGTGTACTCCAGGACACTGTGACATCACTGCTGGGTGTGGTTACAGGTGCAACAAAGCACCCTTTTGAAACTGAGGTTACTTAGAAATAAACACATAAACATCAGATAAGATCAGGTAAAACATAAATCTTACTTAAAATGAACAATGTCAAAAACCTAAAGAGGTGTTGGTGTGGTGGAGGTTGCTGTGGCAGAAAACAGCACATCAACTACAGGTTATCATGTCCATGTTGATATGATTGGACGTTGCTAGTCAGCTGGTAGCCGAGAAGCGTGTGAATGAGCAACTGGTGGTGAAGCATGAACAAAACAGTTGATGACAGTCAGCTAATACAAGGGTGACTTCAGTGCACTGCCAGAACTGAAGAAATGCTAGGCTCCACTCTGGAAATGTTGAGGAGATGTAAACATGGCCTAGTTTGTCTGAGGTTGTGCATGATCATGTACTACAGTAAAGGCTAGGTAAGTAACACAAAAGGATAGTACTGCTTGGTGGAACAAGGGCTGAGACAATTCTTTGGTTCACTGGACAAATCTATTGGTAGAGGGGGAAGGAGTTAGCCCAGCAGTATACTCCAAATAAAATAGTATTTCTTATTTGTAAAGTCTGTCTTTTGAACATGTGTTTCTAGTCTAGTCTTCCTACACTTCCACTGTTCACTTATAACCTCCTCCACCTTGCATGTAAACTGTTAAACAAACAGACCTAAGAGCTGCAGTGAGGATACTCAGACTGCATTTCACTGGATGTATGCTTAGCCTTCGCGAAAACATCAAATCCATTTTTGGATCATATTATTGTCCAGCAATTAAATATATGAGGGGATTCCTCTTGAGAAGAGAAGTCTTCAGTGTTATCGTAGTGAAAATAAAGCACAGAGGCACATTGTGTATATATGGATGGATACGGGGGGCCTCCAGGCTGTCATGAGAGGCAACATACTCCCTCTGATTAGATAGAAGCCAAAGTCTGGTTTGAGTCCTGAGGAGATGAGTTCAGTTTTAGATTATATAAAGTGTGCAATGTTCAGGATAATTTCACAGAAGGTAGCAAAAATACAAACCTCACTTCAAACAGTTTCAATCAATTTAATTGGATTTTTCAATAAAATGGCATCACTAGGAGCTACATGAAGTGCAAAAAGCACCTATTGTTGGTTAGAATGTATTCTGTATTATACACACAGTACAATACAGTTGTATGCTAACTATGTTCTGCATGATCAGCCAACGAGCACAGAAAATGACAGATGTGCAGCCAAATGTGACATGGCATGATTTTACATAGAGAGAGAATAGCATAACTACACAATTACTATGCAAATAATATATGTTTTAAGGACTGGGTTATAGATGAAGAACATTTTGAGGAATAAGAGGAGTCCACTGTGATGAACTCCTACACAAGCTCTGATGAGAATCTAAGCTAAGCAGTAAATTAGTTTATTGATTGTTAATAAAGGAACTGCTATCTCTTTATTTTTATATTTTATTCTTTATTTCATTTCTTCCTTCTGTAATTTCACATTCAGCAGCCCATTTTACATGCATGGTGATTTCCCACTTTGTTTTCTCTTTCCCCCGCCCCCCTATTCTGGACTCTCCGCAGTTTTGGTGTCCTGTGTGTACTTTCTATTTCTTCTTCCGTTTTTCAGTTTTCATCTCTTGACTTATGCCTGCTCAATGATAAACCCGATAAATACAAAATACATTTGCTGTTCACAAATACTGCCACCCACTCATACATCTGCCCCAAGCTCACACAGTTTACTTTTAACTCCACTTCCTGTTGTGGTATTGAGTTTTACATACAGACAGAAATAAGTGACCCTGTGTATCACAGTGGCATTTGAGGAAGAACGCTGTGAGGTAAAAGTGGCATATGTTGTCTGTGCAGTCAGTCAGTTTCCAAGTGCTTTACAGACACAAACAATATATATATAATATAATATAATATAATTAAATAACAAGACACGGCACATCAGTGTATCAAAAATGTGTGTCTTATTTCTCTACAAAAATGTCTTCAATTATAGAAACTGTTTAAAGATCCACAAGACGTAAGAGTTATGTTGACAGCTGAATGTTTGTTTTACTCCTCTTCATCTCTCTTTGTATGGGAGACACTCTCATGTCAGATTGTTCATAAAACTTGGGGGTTATAATTCAACATACATCTAATACACCATGTAATCTCAGGTTATTTTTAGGTTTAGTTAATGATATGCTTCTTCAGAACTGCTTGTCAGATGGTCTAATAGCTTTGGAAACACAAACACCTACACCTTTCCGGTATCAGTTGAGGAGGAGCTGTGTCCGACCATTTGTATGACTTTCCGAAAGCAACAATCCCCCATCCACACCTACTTCGCGCCACGATTGGTCAGCTGTGCAGAGGTGAGAAAGAAGCAAACTTCTCTCTCTAGCTCTCTTTCTCGACAATCTTTCATCAGAAAATTAGACCTGTATTTGGAAAGCCCCCTGAAACGTGAACTGATATGTGCTGACACACACATGTGAAAAGTTAAAATAAAGGCGTCTTTACAACGACTCTGTCAGTTCATATTGGTAACGGATACCAGAACCAGCACTGACCTCTTGGTGATGCGTGTGGGCTGCTGCAGGACTCGGTCGAGCTCCAGGCCTTCGCTGTCCAGCAGTCGCCTGAGGGCAATGTCAGCCAGCTGACCTATGACCCCGAACGCCTCGTTCAAGTTCAGGAACATGGAGAATTCCCTCTGCCGCTTCCGCGTGTTGACCCGGATCGCCTCTGTCATCAGACCGGTGGAGACCCGCTCCAACCGTGTCAACTCCGCCCAGGGAATCACAAACTTGACTGGAGAAGAAAGAAGAGGGTTTCTAAGTCTGACTGCATATCACAGTGACTACTAGACATGTGAACCACCTAATGGTCATTAGCTAGTTAGTTTCCATCCTTTGGTCAAGAATGTTTTGTACTTAGTATGAAATAAACAAAGCACAAGCTAAAAAAGAAGCAATAAGAAACATGTGCAGCAACAAGCCTCCAGTCTGTGACCATTAAATCACATACCTACAATTGTTCCTTTTGTTTATCTACTTTCATAATTTTGGTATAAACTTCTGAACTGCTGATCACTGAGAAGACAATAATCTTGTGTGAGGGTTCACCTGGGCAGTGACTCAATACATGCACAGCAGTAATTACTTGAAAGCCCATGGTGCCATTTCCCAAAGCTATTTGGGAGCACTCTCAACCATTCACATGGCTGCCATGATCACAAATGGTGTCAGTGTCTAGCAGGTTTCCAAGACTGGGTGACTGAGTGAGTGTGAATCTGTGAATTTGCTTTAAAATAAGACCTGAAATGATCTGGGGTTGTATTTTATATACAGTATAAAAGTATATATTTGGAAAACATTAACTGATCATATGTTGTAAGAAGATGAGCTTCCTGAAATAAAGGAGCCGATGAGGTAACAGGATACTGGGGTGCAAATCTGACAAAGCACTTTGGAGAGATTTTATGTTTTATGAGTTGAGGAAAAGTTAGATGCCCATAATATGTTGCAATATGAAAAGTAAGAATATATTAAGGAATAATATGAAAGGAAAGGGTGTAGTCAATTGTCAATGTCTGTCTACAAAATAACTTATTAACAGTTAACTTAACAATAACAATAAACTAACCTGATTATACCAATGGATTTGGTTACTTTTTTACTGACACATTCTATGTGTCCTCTCAAACTCAGGTCAATTATTATTCTGAAGAATGTTCATTTATAGTTTTTCAGGTGAAACGAGAATTGTTTGGAAGAGTGAGAACATTGATTGTTCTTCAGAAGTGGTTTGAGAACTATCTCTGGAGGTTTGAATCGTTTTTCTCTGGTACTCCCTTTCCACAAACGCGAACCTAGTGCTAGTTCTGGGCTGGTGCTAGTGCTGGTTTTGAGTTGACCTTTCCAGAACCGGTTTACTTTCCGTCATGCTAGAGAGCCACCATAGGGCCAAGTCATTGCATCACTGTACATCTGTATACATCTCCAATGTTAGCTATTGTTACCAAAGTTAGACTGATGTGATTGATGTGAGAAATTAGTAGCTATTCTTGGGTAATGGTAGGTCTGTTTCTAGACCAGCAAAGTGTTGGTGCCCTGCTGGTTCTAGTTTTCCTGACCAAGAACTGGTTCTTTGGCTGTTGAAACTCAAATAACTGGTTTGAGATTAGACACCGACTCCGAAGTAGCCCTCAAACTGCCTTGGTGGAAAAACTGCAGTCCTCAAAGGAGCAAGCTCGTAGAACATAGTATTTGTTACCTTTCTGTAGAGCACTCCTTGATCATCACTTTGAAGCTAAAATACAAGATGGGCTTGCAAATTGTTTGTACACTGACAGAATATATTAATAAATTGTGAGGAATGACTCCCTAACTGACTTTGTGTTCAGTCTTTTGGTTTGAAAATCAGAGCCCTCACTTTGGTGTACAGACCTTCCTTCCCCAGCAGGAAGGAGTAGAAGGCCATGTGGTTGATGCTGAGGTAGAGAAAGCCCTGCCGAGGGACCCGGCCCTTCCAGCAGCAGCAGGAGTAGTACGTCACCAGTTTCTCTGACGACGGGAGGCCAAAGTGCAACTCGAACTTGAGGAGTGCCTCCCTGAATTTCTCCGGGTCGTCCTCCTGGGCGGCCTGGCGACCCCGAACCTCTTCCGCAATAAGGCCCTACAAAAGACAGAGCTTACACATTAGAGCACTCTACATGGACTTGCACCATTAAAGGCATGAGAATGTAGGTTATCATCATCATCATCATCATCATCATCATATAATCTACAGTAAACTCTGATCCAATAAATGCCATAAATCCTCTTTAAATCCACAGGAAACGCTTGTACACACACAAAATCTAAAATCATCCTCTGAGAGGATTCGTGCCAGCACTGGCAGGGTTCAAACCTTGACTTTTCCTTTGACAAAGCTGGCAACATCCTCCTTGTTCTCAAACACAGACAGAGAGTGGAGCAGGTTGTGGACCAGCCAGTCCCAGTGCTTGTTCACCTCCTCTATGGCAGCTCCTGACAGACAAAAAGATAAGCCCCAGGCGGGAATTTAACAGCAGTGACCCATCTAATAAGTCAGTCGAGGGTAGAAAAAAACATGAGGAGGAGGCTGCATGGTTCAGCTCACCACTGGCGATTACCCAGCTGATCTGGGAGCCGGGAACCTGGAGGAGGATGCGGAAGGGTGTGACCCTGGCATTGGAGTCCAGCACTGTGTCCAGCGCTCCCACCAGGAGACCTGCAGAGATAACAAAACCTGGAGAATCAGACTGGGGTTGAAATTCTGCAAACATATCCCAGAGACAGAGCTCAGATGAATGATGAATTCCCCTAGTGAGAACCATTAAACCTACACAGTGGTCTCAAATAAACCAACAATGCAAAGTAAAAACCAGCAAACAAGCTCTTGACAAATGTAGTGTCTGCTTTTTTTTTTTTTTTTTTTTACATAAACACACTTATTACGCCTCTTAAATCACCACTGCAGTGAAATAGTGAGCACTTTGATAAGCAGCCATAGAATGAGTCTGGGAAACATCTGTGGGCAGAGCCACAAAAACCAGAAAGTTATCTCAGGTTTGCCAACTGTATATCTGGATTTCATTGCTTTATGTTACTTATCTGAAGTTGAACAAGTTAATAATTAGTGGAGCCATTAGGTTAACATGCTACATGATGGGATGACCTATAATGCTAAATAGCTAATCTATACAATTAAGCTTGACCAAAGTGCCTTTTTAAACCCTTCACACTTTTGGGTTTACTAACTGAGACTGTTCCTCTAGGTTTGACATTAACATGTGACATACTGTAATGAATTCAAATAACAAATAATGTTAAAAGATGTCAATGTTTGCACACCTCTGTGAATACAGTAGAATCTATACATGCTGCCTGCATTTTGAATATTCATTTTACTAATTATACCATATAATTTTGTGAAGAGTTGTTGCTCATTTAACACCCCCTAAACAAATACTAATCTAACAACTAAAGATACATTTAAAAAACACAGTCTCAAAACAACGATGTGATGAACGACATTTTTCTGTCTCTCTGTTTGTGTGCCTCACAAAGAACACAGAGGTGAAGAGTTCATACAGAGAGCTAATAAAGAAGGGGAGGTGGATTAATGAGACATTTCACAGCTAGATGACAGAAGTACACAGAACTACGGCGGGTAGAAAGGTTGAATGGAGCCACAAGAGAGGAAGAGATAATACATGTCTTTACCATTAATGAGATTAACTTTTAAATTTAAATGTTGCTCTTATTTTTGTAGTTATTATAATGCCTATGTGGCCACTTGTTCTTCTTATTTCACAAATGTACTTTATTTTGTACTAACTTATTGTCCTGTCATTCTTATATCTTCTTATATTTGTTGTACATTTGTTGATAAAGTCTTACATATAGCTTTATACCATTGTTATGTAATTACTGTAATTACGTCATTAATAGCATAACATTATCAATATTACCAGTAGCAGTGGTAAGTGTACATTTTCTACTACTAGTGTCAAAGTTAGGCATTAACTTAATCCTGTAAAAGTGCGCCTGATGTAATTATTGCCACATTTAAACAGACCTTGTAATAAAATATGCCTTAAATGGATGAAACCATTGTCAGCTGGCCATGTAAACAGCATTGCAACATTGTTCTTGCTCAAAGGCATAAACACAATACAGAGCCACAGAGAGCAGCAAAAACAGGTACTTAAGACACACAGACAGCACTGCAGAGAGGAGGAAACAAACATTATTACAGTTTAGATGAATCTCATTTCAAATCAGGAGGACCTCAGTGTGTTATCAGGCAGGTAATAAACTGCAGCTTCACTAAATCAGTCAGTTCAGTTCTAAAACTGAAATCCAGCAGGGAGTCTGTTAAGAGTGAACTCAGTGGTGATCTCTCCAATTCCAATCAACTCCACAGATGTTCAGAAGAATAAAATAAGAACCCATAGTGTTGAATGACTTCATGCACTTTGATCATCAAGCTGAGAAGAGGCTGCTGTCGTCAAGTCTCCATCTTTGTAAACCATAGCTAATCTGCATCACGCTCTTCCAATAACAACTCTCTTGGTAGTGCTTTCATTCTATATTTCCTCTGTGAAAAAATGTGTCGGGTCAATATTCTGCCTTAAGAAATGGAAAGGTCCACAATGAAACAGCTAATTTAGCATCTTCACTTTTATGACTCAGTTTATGATCCATTTTAAAAAGGGGAACAAAACAGGAAACATGCAGTATATGACATAGTTAAAAACGATGTTCAACCACCATCAAAGCTTCATGACAACCACAAGTCTGCATTTTAGGATCTGTTGAAAGGTTAAGTTAAAATACTGAAAACTTTGAAATAACTGTGCTTTCAGACTACTTTGTTTGAGGATATAGAAGGAATGCATAACAATGTGGGAACACCTGATTGGGTGTGATAGTTTTTTGGGTTGCTTGTTGGGTTTTTTTCTGGGACAGCCAAAGCACCCAGACCAACGTACACAACGTAAATACCTATGTCAGTACGTATAAAGTTGCTCAATGTAAAACAACTGTGTAATAAGTGCCTAAATGTCTGGACATGGTCTCAGTTCCCAAATGATTTAAGTCAGTTAGGCGTGCCCCGCAGAGGCAACAGCAACACACGTTCATACATTATAAATTAGTTATGATGGCTTAATAAAAGTAAACATCTACACTACCTGCAAGAAAACATTTTATCTACATATGCCGTGGTTTGCTTTCCAGAGTGGCCACCATATTAAACCTTCTACAGTAGCCCAGAAGAGACAAAGCAAACACTGGCTCTACATAAGGCCATTTTGTGGCCACTGCAGTTTCTCCCTTGTGCTTTGAAGGGGAGGGTGAAGCAAGTTAGACGCCACTAGATCCTACACTGGTCCTTTAATTCTTCCAAATGTTCATGTTAACCACATCTAAAGTAGGTATCAGTTATAAAAAGAAAACATATAAGTCATAAAAACAGGAGAGAAAACTATTTAGATCAGACTTCGGCTGTAAATATCCATTAAAGGCTAAAGGCTATAAGCCTGAAAAGAAAATGGATCACTAGAATTGTGTTTCTCATTTGCCTCACAGGGCTTCCGTACATGAGTTACTGCAGCCGACACTTAAAAATCACGCTTAAACATTGATCAAGTACTTGAGACAGTTTCTTAGAAGATTAGTAAATACCACCCCAGAGAAAAAACTGGAGACTTAAGGTAGTGAAAAATGTTAAGCCTTCCTTTGAACCTTTAAAGCGTTTTGTCTTTCTAAGGCAGCATTATCAGCCAGATCAAGCCAACCTACCACGGCAAAGTACAACACTGCATTTCAAAGTTATGACTGAACAAGATGAGGGCAGTCAGATCGCTATCTATGTTTAGCAGTGCCTTCTCAGCCCTGATACACATAAAAGAAAACAAACATACATAAAGAGGAAGAGGAACCAGTATCAGTTCTCCCACATACTGAAAGTTGTGTAGCATTTAATTCAGCAGCTTCAGGGTTGTCAGCCTGTAGTGAAACTGCCTCCTTCTGCCAGAAAGAGTTTCTAACCCTGAAAGTATTTCATCAGAATGGGATCCACCAGAGACTTTTATAGTCTTGTGAGAGTCAACATGCTGTTTAAGAGGCTGTTCCACCTTTGGGAAGTATGCCTTTTTGTTCATTTTATAATCATTAAAGTCAGGGTATGTATCACGCTGAATATCAGCATAAAATATCATTTGTCACAAAGTATTCCTTCTGGTTAATAGCCTTCAAAAAGCACATTTGTGGAACCCTGAGCAGGTGGAGAGGTGTAAAGTCTCCTCCAGCACACAGCTCTGGCTCTGAGCCAACTGTAAACCACATCTTAGAGTCAAAGTCAACCTGCCTGAAGCTGCGAATCCGGCAACCCGGCAACACAAAACCATCCGTCTGTCACCACAAAGCCCAGAAGAGGTTTACACTCAAACTCTCCAGAAAAGGGAGTCAATATGAATCATCGCCTTTCTCTGCTAATGGTCACATTGTGGGGGAATACTGCTGTGGAGACATAAAGGCTAGAGTCAAGCTTCATGAGGCTGGGAGAATAGCAAAACAGAGATCTGCTTTCTACAAGACTGTAATGTCTGTTTGCTCTTGAATGCATCAAACTTAATTATCTGTATGTCTTTTTCTGGTGCTGATTTATGTCAAAACATTAAATTAAGGCTAACTGGTTGAATACAGACACATTAAAGACAGGGTAAAGGTTACTTTCAGTGTGCTTTTGCTTTATAGATAAAGTATTTGGTTGGAAATAAAAACACAAAGACGGGTATGAAGAGACTGATCAGCTACAGATGTTTAGCTGCCCAGCCCTCCTCAGAAATCCAGTTGAAACCATGCCATCACTGCTGTGATAGGTGTGTTTTCACAGCTTTGAGTCCACATCAAATTTCAGTTTCTGCTTCTATCTTTATAACTGGGATTTTTTTTTTTAAAGTCAGTTCTGAGCCATAAAACAGACAACTCCGCTGTGTTGTTTCCTCTGCATGTGTGGCGGGAGTGCCAAAGTGAAGGTCGTTTAATTAGTTAATGTTGAACGATCTGACAACAGGACTTGACCCTTAACCCCTCTCGCTATGGGAACAGCGGGAACAAACACATACACAAAGTAAACCCCGGCCAGGAAGTTCCTACTATTCTCTTTTATGAGAAGAGATTCAGGCCAGATTTCACCACAGGGAAGAAGAGAGAGCATAAAGACGACACTGTATGAACTGGTTGCCGGTTTAATGGCATGAAGTGTCACTCATCAACACATAATTCTACTGTACAGATGACTGCCAACATGTCAGCAAAGTACAGGCGCAAAACACAGAGAGGAAGCGAGACGGGGGGGCAGCAAACAGGCCGTCATAGAGAAAGCTGTAACTCACAGCGGTGGGAAATAGTCAGACGGGCTACAGCTGCATCAAGCATGTGGTCAAATTTACATAATAACCACTCAATACAAGGACAGAACCTGTTCTGCAAGGTGAACAATTTAAACCAGGGCACAGTGATAGAAACATTTTTATCACCTTCAACAGATAATATATCAGAATCCCACAGAATGACAAAACCTGCAATTCTCCAACAGGAAATATGGACAGAGTGTCTATTAAACTGACTTTTGATTGGCGAATCTAATTAAACAGAACATTGTTTTTAAGTTTTATTTTCATGTCTATTACACGAGTGCAACAGTTTTTATGTGTATGAGAGAAAATAAGCTATTATTGAATGGAAAAGAAGTGCATAAAACGTAGTGGATTTTTTTAAGACTTAAAATTGATTGATTTTAAAGGACCAGTGTGGAGGATCTGTGGCATCTAGCAGGAATGTTAGAGATAGCAACTAACTGAACACCCCTCACGTCGCCCTGTGAAGAGTGTAGGAGAAACTCTGGTGGCCACCAAATGTGAATAGCCAATCTACCTATCTAGAGCCAGTGTTTGGTTTGTCTGTTCTACTGTAGAAACAAACGGTTCAACACAGCGGACTCCAAGGAAGGCGACAAGCGGCGTCTGTAAATGAAAATGTCTCATTCTATAACGAAAACACAACAATTCCTATATTCAGGTGATTATACACTAATGAAAACACACCTATGAACATTATATTCCATTTCTGCCAACAGATCCTCTTCATTGTTACACACTGGACCTTTAACCAAGTAAATTAAGAAGATATGTAGATATAAGTAATAATAGTAAGGCACCTGTAATAATAATAATAATAATAATAATAATAATAATAATTGCTTTATTAAGGACACAGGAAAAAAAGTAATAATAGGTCTATAATGAAATAATATTGAAGATTATTTTGTGTTGTATGATCAACAGTCCAAGAAAAGTGCCAAATCCTCACACATGTGATGCTGGAACCAGAGATCAGGAGAAGTATAATGTTAAATGGTTGATCCAGATTTAACACATTCCATCAATCTCAGATCCCCAAAGCTAACACAGTCATGCTAATTCAAGTGTGGTTTAAATACTAATGATAACTGCCCGAGTTAAATCACAGAACTGAGATAAAACACAGATCACATTAACTTCAACTGCAGAGAAATCAGAGATAAGTTGATCCAAACAAAATGAAGTATCAGCTCAGTTAGTTGGTGATATCCTCTATTCTTTCAGTCTTTAAAACTACAACTGTTGCAGGACTTTTCAACTGTTTCAGACTGATTTCCCTTCACCATGCACAGAAACTTCTAACCACATCTAATTTTGTCTTTGAGGCCTGTGTGAAACATGTATCTTTACAGGAAGTAAACACATTTTGTTGACACAAAGGATTGTTGTTGTCTCCGGTCTGGTGACAGAGTTTGAACCACATCCCCATACAGCTGGGAGCTGGAGCATGGAAACTGTCTTTGGGCCAGTGGTTAAGATAAAGTTAACCTGCCATGTAATTATAAGGTTTGTTTAAAGGCATCAGTTGCCATAGTAACACAGACAGATAGCAGTAAACCAAGGATCTGAGGCAGGGGGTTTCCTGTGGACCCTGTGATTGGAATAAAGCAGGATTTAATTGAATTTTTGTTTTTTTAAATAAATCTTTAATCTTAACTTCTGGGTTACCCCCGTGGACACACCCCCTTACATAGCCTACCCCATGATTTGCCCCCGGCCTACTGGCTCCTTGTGGTTTTTCCTGTGTTGTTCCTTTTGTTTCAGTTGTTGTTGTTGTTAACTTATCCTGACAGCTGTCTCCCCCCCTGGCTCCTCTACTGCTGTCATTGTTCACCTGTGTGGCCCCTCCTTTTTGCTTGTTATTTTTGTTGTGTTGTAACTTAGTTGTTGGTGTTTACCTGTGATCCTCCCCGTCGGCTCCCCGTGTCCTCTCCTCCTCTGCAGGACGAAAAAGTCGTTGCTCCTCTCGGTTATCCAGAGCTTCAGAGCGTTTTTCAGCAGAACTTCCTCCGGGTTCAGCCACATTTCTTCCAGCAGGGAGGGACCAGAGGAAGCCCTCCGCCGTCTCGGTCTTTGCAGCGGCGGTGTGTAAACTTGTCCCTGCCTGTCCTCCGGGTCTGGAGCGGCCCGATCGAGCCTACAGCGGCGGGTTCTCGGGTTTATCCATGATTATCCTGCGCTCCCGACAGCTGCAGGCTTCACTTCCTCGCCTCACGTCTGCTCCCTCACGCCCGATTTGCAGCAGCTGTACACACCAGCCGAAGATCGTCTATTTGAGATGCTGACTCACTCTGTAGTTGAATGGGGCTCCCACAGTTTTGCTAAAAGAAGATGATTTGATTTTTAAGTAAAATATAACGTTATCTGGGGATCTTGTGACATACCAGTTTTTCTTTATTATTATTCCACAAAATAGTTATACATTCTTTCACAAATTTTAAGAGAAAAAATTATCACAAACTGAATCTAAAAAGCCCCTTTCACTTTCACCACGAGTAAAGAAGGTAAATATAAGGTACTGAAGTACAGACTGGTGCCCCTCATTGACTGCAGCTAATGTGCACTTATAACTAACTGGAGTGTGCTGGTAGAAGTGGTCAAATAGAGTGGTAGTTATATTCAGTTTCTGCCAATAGATCCTCCTACATGTTACACTGGACCTTTAAATCCCCTATACTGTATGTAGGGTTTGACATTTTCAAACTTTGGCCCCCCATTGGTTGTATAAAAAGACCTTCATAGATTCAACCCGGACGCTGGTAAGTTATGTGAGCTGATTTTTCAAAGGGATTCTCTACTTTTTCTATACAAACTGGGGCTTTAAAATCAATCATAATAAATACACTCTAACAAATATTTATCACCTCTCAGGTGTAAATTTTATCTGTGCTACTCAAATTTCAGATGTTCAGTACAGCTCTTCAGCATTTTTTGATAATATAAATATGCTATTATAAAAAATATATGTCTTCTATATATTTTGTTGCCACAGATTTGCTGACATTTAACCAAGAAGAATAGCTTCACTGCGCAGTAAATCCTTCAGTTTCAGCATCCACAACACTCATCATGAGTCAACACATTTTAGTTTAGTTCTAGACTAAAGGACTCTTCTGTAACAAACCGACATATTCTATTTTGGTTTTGTCTTTTTGATTAATCTCACAACCCTGTCAGCATTAGCCTACACACACTTTAAAAATAAAACAAGGATAGCCCATGTTGAATAATTAGCAAACTAATTCTCAAAGCATATACCATTCCTCTTTGTATAATAATAGTATGCCCTATTATTATTATTATTATTAGTAGTAGTAGTAGTATTCAACAAGCTAGTATAGATAGAAATATAATTAACAAGCTCTGTAAAGTAATTTTGATAATACAGTATTTAACCTTAAATTAAATGTGACTGCTGACCGCAAAACATACGACTACAGAGCTGATGACGTTTGTGGTTCCTGATAAACAGAGACAGAGTGGGAGCTCTTCGTTTTATTTTCTTCTCTTCCGCATTTCACCAACTTTCCTTTCGCTAGTTCCGGCAGAGAGCCACCAGCCCTCCTGTGATTGGCTGTTCCAGCCTTACAGCGCTCAGGTGCTCAGTATGATATTTACCACACAAAGTGCTCATTGTATAAACTCCGTTCATTCATCATTACCCAGAGACACTGCCTGAAGGCTCCAAATATCCTGTCATTTTCTGCTGTTTGACCTTTTGATTCCATTCATCTTAACAACTGATAGAAAATGATGATGAATAAATTTGACCAATAATTACTCACATTTGATTAGTAAGGCTGTTATGTAATATCCAGAGCGAGCCATATGCTAACAGTGTAGAATATTATTAGATTAAAACAGCTGAAACTAGATGATCCAACCTGGTAGTAGGCCTAAGAATAGAGAAAAGAAAGGAATCAACATAACTTATACTATCTTTGTATATAGTCAGCATTAAGGATAGACCAATATGGGATTTAATAAAACTAAAATAAAAGACGAAATAAATTCAATCATTTTACAGCGACATCTTTAAGAGAGGAAAGGCAACAATGAGGAAATAATCAGATAAAATGAGCTCTTGTGCTGTAATAAAACAGAAACATGAATTAGAACCAATTCCTTATTGTACTGTATCAGAAATATTATTTGTTTCTGTCAACACAAGCCTTACAGATTACATGTGGGATTTGAAGACATTTGAAAGACCAGCGTGTTGGATTTAGTGGCATCTAGTGGTGAAGTTTCAGATTGCAACTATCTGAACACCACTGCCGTCTGTATTTGATGACCTGGGAATGAGAACGGGCTGTGAAGTGTGTGGGAGAAACCGCGGGGACTGTGAAACTCGTGAAAACCACAAAAGGTCCTATCTAGAGCCAGTGTTTGGTTTGTCTGTTCTGGGCTACTGTAGAAACATTGTGGTTCAACATGACAGACTCCATGGAAGGAGACCCACAGCGTCTGTAGATAAAAACAACTTATTCTAAGATAACAAAAACATGGAAGCGATTCATATATGCAGGTGATTATAAACTAATGAAAACATACCATTGAATGTTATTTTCATTCTGCCAATAGATCCGCCTCAATGTTACACACTGCACCTTTAAACCTCTGTCTGATGTGTCCTGGATCACCTGCGTAATCAATGGATAAGTCCTCACCATGACACGAGTCAGTAGTTTGTATGGCCAGATTAACTACACACTGCTCCCTCTCTGTGCATTCTGTGGACCCTGGTGTCTCAAAGTTCTCATCAAGTACAGTACACAAAATTTTATTATATTCATCTTTAATTATTTACTCAAGAAACCAACCACCAGTACTCCTGCTGAAATAACACTGCCAACCCCCAGGGTTGTTGAGGGACCTTAAACAAGAAAAAGTAACAACATTAGGAAATAATCCAGGACCTGTCTCAGCTGCTTCAGTGGTGCAAATTACCCAACAAATCTGCCATTAATCAAACAATCAAAACAAACTGACTTGCGGTAAAAATGGGATCTTACACCAAACGATCGAGATGATGGGAGGGCGCCACAACTCTAGAAAAACGTTCATGATTTTATGAACACTGGAAATTTGTCTGCGGTAGTGTAGTTGCTTGAATAGTAGTTTGGTGTAAGACATAACGGCATAAGTCTCATCTCAAAATAGTGTTCCACCAATTTCAGATACAAGCAGTCCTGTCAGCTTCACTTAAATAATAAGTTTAGTCTCAAAACTTCCATAAATAATATGCTTCAGTTCACTTTGTGTGTGTTTAATTTAACCTTTGACTTTTTATTAGTTGTTGATTAGTTGTTAATGTTTGGTTATAGTTACATACTGTAAGTGATTCACAGCAATTTTGTTTTTATGCAAGCATTTGCACTAAGATACTTTATAGACCTTACTTTATAGATAGATCATTTTACATTTCAGGACAAAATATAGTACTTTTTAGAAATGTTATCTCATAAAGAAATAAAGACTGTGTAGAGTTTACACTATTACGCATTTAATGGAATTTTACATTACAGAAGGATAAGCAGTAAACGGTGACACTCTGAAAAGAACATTATTTTATTAAATACTGGTGTATTTTATTACGTTTCCTATACTTCTAAACTATATATAGATATATTATATATACTTTTTCAGTGTGCACTATTTCCAACCATGGCAATCTTTTTGGTCATTTTGATGTGCCTGTCCACCTGTGATCTAGACTAAATAGTCACATTTAATTTTAAAGGGGGGTGGGGTGGTGGCACATGGCTTGTGTGTGTGTGTGTGTGTGTGTGTGTGTGTGTGTGTGTGTGTGTGTGTGTGTGTGTGTGTGTGTGTTGTGTGTGTGTGTGTGTGTGTGTGAGCAACAGCACCTGTTTGGTCTCGCTCGCTCTCTGGAGCCACAAATGGAATGCTGCGCTCCCACTCCTTTTATGGTCAAATTGAGACTCAGCAGGAAGTTCGTGTTACTTTTATTATTGTCCCACCCGTAACCCGTCTATTCCTCATATATTACCAAGCTGTAGCAACATATAAAAAATAGCATACTCCTATCTGTGTTAGCCTGAATATATACTAGGTTAAAGTGATTTTATTTGAACCCTGGACGTATTATCTCCTTATTTTAGACAGACATAGGTTTTTGTTTCTGCCGGAATCGGTCCGTCTTCGGTCCTTCTGTTTCCGCGTCTGAGAGGAGAGCAGTGGTGTGATTTCAGAGGAGACTTTTATCGGTCAAAATGCAGGTTGGTAAAGCTTTATTAGAGTTTTAAACGCTGTAGTTTAACGGTGTTGAATGAGACGACTGGCCATCGGTTGCTGTCGTTGTTGTTGTGTTGAGATAATTTCAGAGCAGAGCTTTGAAACTTAACGAGCCCTGTTAGCTGGGCGTATCAACAGCCTAAACGCTAGCTTCACTGTTAGCTAGCGAAGTGCTTGATCACCCTAAACCTGTGAAAGAGAGAGAGACAGACATGATATTAGCTGGGACTAGTGCTCAAACTGTTCCTTATACATCTTAGTTGGTAGACAGAAATTAAACTGCTGATTTGTGACGGCTTGGACAACGTGAATAATCGAAATAAAATAGCGGTAGTGGGATTGTTCTTGGGCTTTCCCCCCTCGTTATAGTCTGCAGGGCTATGAAACGAAAAGAAGAGCAACCTCATCCTCACATTGAAGTGTTTGAAACCAGTAACTTCTTAACATTGTGACTTATTAGTCAAATGTAGCGTCGTCAAGTACTTTTGTTACCTCGGCAGAACAATAAGTGGTTACAACAATGGCTGGCACAGGAACAAATTCATATACAAACATCACCTGAACTTACTGCTTCTGTCATTTGGTATTTCTCTTTCTTAAATACTGATGTTGCTACTTAGATTTCAGGGTTGAGATGTGTCTTTCCTCTGCTTGCAGAAACTAAAAGAAAGCAGAGTAACGGTACTTTGTGTGTATGTATGCTTTGTTTTCTTCCCAGGACCCAAACGAAGACACAGAGTGGAATGATATCCTGAGGAAGAAAGGCATTCTTCCTCCCAAAGAGGTACCGAAAGATGATGAAGAGGAGGAGGAGCTGGCCCGCCAACAACAGTCTGTTGGTAAGAGACACATTTTGGGATAATTGTTATTTTTTCTAATGTTGATACATGTTTTTGGTTTGGTTTTATTTTGATGATGTGCAAATAATGTTAGTTATGATATTTGATATGTCTTATATCGACCCCATTCAACTGATCATTAAAGGGTCGATCATTTGCAGAAGGTGTAATGAGTCGACGTGACTGTTGTTGTATCTCTGAACAGTTAAAATGTACGAGGACATGACACTGGAAGAACTGGAGGAGAATGAAGATGAGTTCGGTGAAGACGACGAGGCTGCCATTGAGATGTACAGGTAGGAGTCTGGTACACTGAGTAACTCCCAGTCACATGCATTATATTGTTACTCTGTTTTTATTTATTGTTATTAGCCTGCGTTTCAACATAGACTCACATAACCAGACCAAGTTAGCAGGTGTGTTTATGGTTACAGCTGAGTAGATAACCTGTTCCACTGGGAGTCTGAAATATATGTTGATATTGAATATGAATGTTTTACTATTCTAGTCTTGGCCTGATCTCTTAATAGTTTAACACTTATAGATTTTTTTCCTTCATAATCATATGTGCACATTGTACCAGTACTGACCTAGCATGTTGGTTCAGCACATTACGACATTACTGTTAGATTGCTGAATAATCAATAAAGTTATTTTCATCTGTTTTTGAAATATAAATTATGGAAGTTCCTCATTAATCTATAAACCTCTGACAAGCTCTCATAGTGGAATGAAACTTCTGTAATATGAGTCTGATGGAGAGTTGCTCGCTGTGACTGCACACTGATGTGAGATGTGTCTGCCTACAGACAGAAGCGTCTTGCAGAGTGGAAGGCGACTCAGATGAAGAATGTGTTCGGGGAGCTGGGGGAAATCTCTGGGCAGGACTACATCAAGGAGGTCAACAAGGCCGGAGAAGGCATCTGGGTGGTGCTGCACCTCTACAAACAGGGGTAGGTCATCCAACAAAGTGGAGTACTTGAACATGTATAAAACTCTTGAAGGCTTATGTCTAAAAGTGTTTTTGAATGTAATTTCTTGATGCTGCTGTCTGATTTGGGTGAATTGACCCTTTAGACCATTTAATCTCTGTTAAGATCTTCTCTGGGTTGAGAATATTTTGTCCTCTCTTATAAACCCCTTCCAGGTGGACACAGCTGTTAAGCTCATATTAGGCCTTGTTTTGAGTCATGACTTCTTTGGAAATGTAAACAGTTTTTTTTTGTTGCAGCTGTTGAAATATTAGCACGGTCAACTCAATCGAGTCTTCTTTTACACTTACTGGTTAATAGCATTTGTCTTTATTCTTGTGAAAAGCTGTTGTGGGCAAACCTTAATCCGAAATACCTTATGGTAATAACATGAGTGCATATACGGAATATGGAGCATAACTCAAACCCAAATTTATCAATTTTATCAAGCAAAAATGTCAATCTTTCTCTGGTTCCAGCCTCTTAAATGTGAGTATTTGCTGCCTTTCTTTGATTTCTATCATTGTAAATTGAATATCTTGTTTGGGACTGCTGGTTGGACAAAGTAAGCAAGTTGAATACATCACCTTGGGCTGGCGGATAAAATAATTTGAGATACTGATTGATATTGAAAAGGATCATTTGTTGCATCCCTAACTTTCAGCCCGTTACTCAACCCATTAGGACCAACTTTGGTTTTCACCCTGCTGACGCTTTCCAAGTGCAGCACTAACAGATCTGTACGGTGTTCATTTCCTTTCCCAGCCTCCCTCTGTGTAGCCTCATCAACCAGCACCTGAGTATTTTGGCCATGAAGTTCCCTCAGACCAAGTTCCTCAAGTCCATCTCCACCACCTGCATCCCCAACTACCCCGACCGCAACCTGCCCACCATCTTCGTCTATTTTGAGGGAGAGATGAAGGCCCAGTTCATCGGGCCACTGGTCTTTGGTGGCATGAACCTCAAAGTTGAAGGTATGGAGGTGTTTTGCTTACAAAAAAAAAGTGACAGGACTTTGAACACAGACCATCCGAGTGTATCTGAAGTAATGCTGGTTTCACAATAGACTTTTGAGGAATTGTGGAATCCCAGTGTGATTGAAAGAATGCTATGCTATTACAATAATAATAATAATACTAAAAATACAGCTGTTGCAAAATGTATCTGTCAAAAAAATTTAATTTGTATCACACCAGAACTGATTGCGGCCATTTTAGACAATGCTCGTGCTCAGCGGAGAATACGTGGTCTGTTCCTGACAAAAGCCACAGACGGACACAGAAATGGCACATCCAGTCAATTTTCAAAATAAAACACCCTGTACAGACTCCAGATTGTAAAAATGGACAAAAAGGAAACAGTTGAACTACACAGGCTACTTACCCATGGTAGAATGACATTAGTGAAGGAAAATTTATTTTCAGGTGATTATACTGTAATAATGATTCAACTTTAGGGCCATTTTGGACCATTGACAGGACAACTGACAACACATCCTGTACATTTCATCATACTTTATGAGTGAAGTGTTTATTTGTCCATGTCTGTCTCACCCAGAGCTGGAGTGGAGGTTATCAGAGAGCGGAGCAGTGAAGACAGACCTGGAGGAAAACCCCAAGAAGCAAATCGAAGACAAGCTAATGTCATCGATCAGATGTTCGATTCCTACACGAAAGGACAGTGACTCTGAGGACGAGGACTATTAGGGAAAAAATGCCTATCACTCCAAATCATAAAGGCCATGCGGCCGCTACATGAGGAGCACTCATAAGAGGAGCTTAAAGCTCCTGATGATTGTTTGAGCAGGGACAGAGAAGGGACGGCATCCCCTTTCTTTTTACATTTCATATTTTGACCATGTCGGTGGAGTTCTTATACAGGGCTCAATCCTGCTCAAGGCCACTTGGATAGGACACTTGGCTGGAGAGAATCTAACCTGTGACCTTGTTGTCTCCTGTACATCTCTGTGGGGAAAACAGCACAATAATCAATCTTTTGTAATATGAATAAACATCAACAACACCATCACCTGGATATTTACACAAGCATCAAAGACAAAACATTTTTTTATTACTTGTCAAGTATGTCACAAAATGTACAAGTACATTTAAATCTGTTAAATTAAATGTGAGTTCACCTCTTTGCCACAATAATTGGTGCCAGTTTTTGTCCTAGGTTCTCATTGTTTTCTGTCACTGTTGATTATAAAGGATTTTCTTTAGAGTGCTTTGTCTGTATTTTGTGACATCCGTGTCTTGTGTAACAGTGCAACGTGCCAAATTTGTGCTTGGTAACGGTTCACATTAACTCACACCAATTTGACATTTGGAAGCAGGAAGACACATGGCAGCCATGGCAGTGCAGTTCTATTTTTTTGACATCTTTACAATAATTTATTTTCTGTTAACAAAAAGTCACGTTTCTCCATGGAGAGAGTGCGTAGCTCCACCAGCCGGCTGCCTGCTGCTCCTCTTCTGTTGAGCCTGATTTCCTTTTTTGTTTTGTACATTTTCTTCTACAACATCCCCTCCGGCAGACCTCGAATCTTCTGTTTCATTAGGGAGAAAGAGAAAAGTGAGCGTCAGCAGTGGATCGAACCTGAACAGTGATGTCATTTAAGGTTATTTACGCTGTCTCTCCTCATCACTGGCTCACTACTTCTTTGCTCCCTGATAAAGGTTGATGTTTTGTAGGCAGGGGAAGTAGTGAAAGTTCTGTGAGTTTGTTGTCAGTTGCTCCTCACTGATGTTGATGAATTTCCTGCCTAAAGAACCTTCTTCTGAAACACTTCCAATAGGTTGCAAGATATTGATGAAAAGAAAAAAGGTCTACTCAAATTTAGATATATTTTAGACTTTTCTCCAATCTTGACTTTTTTGTTGTTAAAAACAGGATCATTTTGCCTCTTTAATTCTCGAACAGTTTCACAAAGCAGGTATTATTTACATTTACATTATTATTACAGAATTATAATGAACTTGGTTATTGTATTTTCCACGATAATGGTATTTAAAATCATGTCTAGTTCACGTTCCTGCATAAAGACCACATACTTTATGATAGACAAGTTGAATTTGTACCTTTACTACAAAGCACTGAGCTTCACTTTGTTATTGCGGTTTAGAGGAAATAACCCTAACCCTTCTCACAACTTATAGATGTATTTCTTGTGTGACTAAAAAACAAAACAGGACCTCTTTCAACTCCCTATATGTCCTAATTAAAGGAGATGCATATCCTCTTAAAATATATTATTATAACAGCTGACAATTAAATAATAGGTTTTCTATATAATCTTATATTTTCTTACCAAGAGTACCACCTTCTTGTTTCTCATCTGGGAAAGCTTTGGGGAAAGTCGCATCAAAGGATGAACTGAGTGAGACTGGAAGGGGAAAGAGGAGAGTTACCTTAGAGAGTTAACAGGAATCAAAGCAGAGAGAAAGAACTGCTGACCTGTTTGAAATCAAACATAGCTTTAAAAAAAAACCTAAAAATATCTACTTAATGGTGTGTTCAGACCTACAATAGCACTGTGTCAAACACATGCAACAGTCTGCATTGGTATGAGCCTTGTAACAGTTTATAGAAATGAAAACAATGAGATTATAATTCATCAATATGATTATATTTGGTCAAATAAGTTTTTTTGGACTTAAATCTATGTCCCGTAGAGTACTGTAAGTCCAGGGAATCGGATCTGTCAAGGGGGAACTGGCTTCGGTACTTAGTGAAATGTGTCTATAGCAGCGAGTATTGTGAATTGTTGAATACCAAAGCTTTCATCAAATTTCTGCTCAGATTTTATAACCTTATTTAGTTAAATATTTCCTAAATCGTAATTCTTTTTTAATTCTTCTTGTATGCAACATATAACATTTATTCATTCCTTCATTCTTTTGGTTTCTTTTGTAGAAAAGCAAAAAGTCAAAGCAAAAAGTATCCAAAAAATATAGTTTTGGTCTCAGTAGTGAAACACAGATCATTTATTAGTACTGAAGCAGTAGTAGTATTGAAAGTGTTCAAACAATCAATATTCAGCCTGCTAATGAGATTTCAATTCTGAATCACACCGCTTTGCAAAGCCGGAATATTTGGTTATTTTGATGTGATGATTTAGGAGAAGCAGCTATTCACATCAAAGCAACTTCAATTTCAACAGAAGTGGAAATATTTAAATTTTTTACAATGGGTGTCATTTTGTTAATGCTTTTTCAGGAGTTTTGGCCTTGTGCTGCATTGAAGTGTCAACTCTCAGAGTGAACCAACAGCACTCCAATCAACAATGGCCATCTCTGACCAGCTGTCAACACGTGTTTTAACTGATGAAATTTAATGGGGTCGAGGGTAGTTTTCCATTTTCAGAGACTTGATCTCTTCAGTGCACCTACTTTCTGTAAATCAGCCTGATAGCTTCCAGCAGATGTTCGGCTTTTCTGCATCTGTTATTATTAAGTGACATCTAATAACTCAACAAAAACTGACTAGAACACACAACACCACCAGTTGTTTGTTTGTTCCTCTGCTCACCTCGTGCTGTACAGCTCCAACAGAGTTGCGTGCTTTAGAGTAATGAAAGAGAAACTGAAAACAGGAGAATATCAGAGGGTCAGTGAGCTGCTGCTGAACAAATAATATATAATTTTTTTTAAATATTAAAACTGAGGTTGAAACTTACTCTTTTGAAAACATTCTGGACTTGATCCTGTGGGGAGAGACATTTTCAGATTAATAACATGCAAAAGTCATTAGAGCATTGTTACACAGTTATTGTCACATAGAGTACAGTGGAGGGACACAACAGTAAAATCTCATTTTAACCACAACAATAAATCCTTTTTCCAAAAAGCAAATAAGAAGTCAGTTACTGATGACAAGTTGAATCAACTCTGTCATTTCTGAGGCCATAGTTAATAGTAGCGTTGTGTTATATTGTGTGTAGTTTGGTTCATTACCTGCACACTAACTTCTGTCCAAAATGTCCAAAAGAGATTTAAAACTGTCTGGAATACCCAAAAAGACTCATGTTTTTCACATTGATAAGCACACTCTCTTCATTCTTCCCTCTCTCTCCCTTACATGTGTCAGTCTCCTCATTATTCTCCTTTTATCTCTGGAAGCTGATGGTTCTCAGTGCTGAAGTGAGATTTTAAAGATAAAGTTCTGTCAAACTGGGACGTGACATACAGGTCATTAGTTTTAAGTGGCTTCAGTTTTTCAGTCTTGTTCCTGCCTACTTTGCACACAGTCACTGCTCTCTGTGCCAGCATCACTGTACCACTGTCTCCTTTTTCTCACTTGCCTCCAAAATACGAAAAAACATCTTTCCTAACAAACCCTTACTTCTAAAAGATGTGGAATCAGTTCGGTACAACCACAAATATTAAAGAGCCACCCTACCTGCATTAATGTTTTTATTATTGTATATCATTAGCAAATTAATTGCCGTAAATAATCAGTGAGCAGAAAACAGGGCTGATGGGAAATGTGGTACTCACATTTTTGAAACTTGAATGTTACCAGTACCGCTGTCTTGTGTTACAGTTCATTTAAATGGAGAAATGTTAGAAATAGTGTACATTATATATAATCTTATCCACCTACAAATGTTTTTGGTGTTTGCTCTTCACCTACCTCATTCTGGTCTCTCCACAAAACATCACTCAAATCCTCACTTTGGATGCCTCGCACCTGCAGACAAACAGCAAATTCATCAACAGCAAGTCATTAGGAATTGATAATAGACAGTGAATGCATCACATTATCTCAGTCCCATCACTGACCACTGAGTCTTTACAGTCAGTCCTCATTTCTTTTCTCTCCTTCAGCTGCTCCTGGTGCCGAGTATTTGGACTGAATGCACATGCAGATCAGCATCATCTATGGACTCATTATTTGGTCCAACAGTATTTTCTCTTGCATATTGTTCTTTAAACCAACCATACTATAGGTGGTTACAAAGACATTAAACTGCATGGCCAGAAGGAAATAATCAATGATTAGTGAAACTGATTAATTAACATATTAACAGTCCTCTCTTTACTCACAGCCTGAAAAGAAATGAATTGGCACAAACATCACATGTGGAAATGGCACCAAAGAAAGCAGACCTAGACAGTTAGAAAGTCTTCATGATAAAGGAAATATGTATGAATGTAAAATGAAAGATAATTCCCTACCTTTCTTAACTCAATCCCATCTTCCCACTGATCGAAAGGACTGGCATCTGAGTGAAGAATACATGTGAAGACATTTAATACAAACATCACAACAATAAATACATTAGGATATATAGGCCTATGTTTATATATATATAATGAATACATTAGGAGAAATCACTGTAACATTTAATACTATATTAATTCTACAGGACTGTGTTTGTGGTCCACAATAGTGACTTTATTGTACTTTATTGTGTTTTTTTGTGCTATCTGTAATTAGAAAAATCTACAATAACCTCATTAGAACTGATAGTATCTATTTGGTACAATACTAAATGTATTTATGAAGCAGCCTGTTTGTATGAGCAGCTAGGCCAGTAGCTGAAACTATCAGACATAATAAATCACATTTGGATGAAAATGCTGAGACTTTCTGTCGCAAGTGTCAGTAGCTTTACCATTATATTCTTTAAAAATCTTGTTTTGGCCAACCTCTAGTGGTTGAAGTAGTGATGATGACATGTACTCAGTACTTGAGTACATTGTGACATCACTGTTGTTGTTGTTGTGGGTGTGGTTAGTATAACAGAGTGTTAACTTTTAACTAGAAGAGCTCAGTGAAATTATGCTTTTCAGCCAAGTACTAAGTTACAGTGGTGGACAGTAACTAAATACATTTACTTGAGTTGTGTACTTAAGTATAATTATGTATAGGATACTTGACACTCAGTATTTCTGTTTAATACCACTTTATACTTTAATTCTACTGATTGTCTTTTTTGCTCTATTTGATGGCATGAAGTTACTGGTTATTTTGTAGATTCATATTTTATATCCAACCTTAAAAATTCAATGCACCTTAATTTATTAATTACACAACAGTATATGAAATCATTAATATTAAATCCACTTTGATCAACTACTATATGAAAATGCTGTTTACACCTTAATGTATATAATAAAGTTATACAACAATCTGGAAGGAGCCATTTCAAATACTTTTAAATCATTTGCTGCTAACACTTTGGTACCTTTTCTTACAAACTAAAGTACAAGAGGACTTTTACTTGAGTATATTTTACATGTCTGTATAGACTTGTTCCACCACTGTGTTTCTCTAATAAGGCATTCTTAAAAGGTTTATATGTTGACATGGTTATTGAATAATTTATTAATACTTTACTCCAGACCAGTAAGAAGCCACTAATAAGGAGAACTTATAGTATTAAATGGATATCTTCTCCCAGCATAAGGGCACTTCACCCTTCCAATGGACAGCTGGACTATTACCTAAACTGCACAGCATCCAGACTACAACCCATCAGACTTGATGAATGGGAATTGCATCAGTGAGTCCCAGTGAGTTTCTTACTTTCTTCTAATCATATCTTTATGCCAACAATGTTTTTTGTGAATGGCACCTTTCAACCACTGATGTAACTTACACTGCTTTATATTTGTAAAAGGTTCTTCCTTTACAAAGATCCATCAACTCTGCAGTTGTTAGTGTTGATGAATTGTTTTCAGTTCTGACACTCTGCAGCTCATTTCCTGTAGATAAGTGTGTTAAAGAGGTTACTGTATCCCCAAAGACCATGTGCACCAGCCAGTTTTTTACAACCTGGCAACCCAGTTGTTCTCCATACCAATGGCTTATTACAAGTATTAATCAATTATTTAATAACAATTAACCGTAACATTTACATATGAACCATTTATATGTATATGGTTTAGACTGTGGTACCAGTTACTGGTAAAATCCCATTTTAGGATTTTTGTTGAAATGTGATTGGAAAATGAAGGGTTAAGACACAAATTAAATACTCTTTACAACAAAACAATTCCTAGTTCATTGCCATGATTCCTAGCATCCCAGCATACTTTTACTTTTACATATACATTTTAAGATATATATGCAACTTCACAATATAAGAAAAAAAAGAAATCATGATCAGGTTGAATAGTGGCATTTTTACTTTAACTCAACTCAGTCATACTTTATAGTATTTTATTCTCCAGCTATCACTATAAATTACATAGGCTATATAATATCTTTCTAAAGGCTAAGGAGCTGTAATTTTGCACCTTTTGTGTATCCCAGGATAAGTCAACCAAAACGTGTTTTAAGAAAGAGAGACTCCAGGCCAAAAATAAGGAGAGAAAATCCATATCAAATTGGTATTTTTTACCAGGTAAATCCATAGTTTATATAAAACCCCACAATTTCCCGAAAAACAAACAAAAACGTTATTTTAGCATAATAAAGCATCAATCTGAGATATTTTAAAATACCTGTCAATCACTTCACATATGATCACCCACCTGTTGTGCTCCAAGGTCCAAGAAACCAGAATAAACACACAAGAAAAAGTTGTCGCACAGTTGGAGTCATGACTCTGTGTTTCTTCGCTCCTCTTCCTCTCTTAATTCCTCTCCGGTTTACTGGGTTCGGTTCTGTTCGGGTCCCCTCGTCGGTCTCGCTGTCTTCAATAGTTGTGTGGTCTGAACACCGTGCCTCTGCCGGTCCGCAGCACTTTAAAAGCGCACCACAACCTTGCGGGCTGGCAGGCATCCTGCAGAGGTGACCAATCACACCGACCCGGTCATCAACGTGCGTAAATCCAACGCACCCCCCTCTCTCCCATCTCTCTCCCTTTTCTCCTCTTCTACAACTTCCCTCTCTCTCTCTCTCTCTCTCTCTCCTCTCACACACACACACACACACACACGCAGTTTCAGGGAATAACACTGCACTGGGAATACTGTGCTGTTTTGTTGTTGCAGCCTGCGCACTGTGCTGATGTTAGTCTGTCAGTGAAGATCGCATGACGGGAATCTCGCTCAGCTGGAAGGGAAACGATAACCCTGGGGAAAAGCAGCTAATGAACTACATTAAATGTTATAAGGGAGGTCATTTATATAAACTTTGCTGTTATTGTTTTCATGAAAACGATAAGAAGAGAAGAGAAATGAAATAACAACATAGAAAATGTAAAAATATATAAAATGGGGTAAATATCTCTGGATACTGGTAGGAAGATGGTTTAGGTTCATGGTGATAGTCCAGAGTGGGTTAGACTTGTAACAGTAGAATGGTTGAATAAAGAGTTAAGGAAAGATGACCATACAAAGGTACATTATTACTTTCTAGTGGATAATAATAAAAGACTTGAGATGTGTTTTAGGAAGGGAGCTGCTTTTTTGGGTTGTATCTGTAGAGAGTGGGAGAGAAGACAAAGTTCTTTGTTTGTGATGTTATAAGGACGTGTTTCAAGTCTTTTTCTGGCTAATGTTTTACTATAATGGTATTTTTTTTAGTTATGTGCCGATTCGATGCTCAGTAGACTATCATATTGTATGGTATCAGTATCGATGCAATATGATCCATTAGCCTAAACTACTACATAACTGGAGCAGAATATTTGTTTGACAGTTTGCACATGATGTTTTTAGATGGTTGGGTTTCGTTTTTGTTTATTTATTTATTAATATGTGGGCTTTTATTGTTTTTAATTGATAGTGATAGCTGAAGAGTGACAGGAAAGGGCAGAGAGAGAGGGGCTGACACACAGCAAAGGGCCGCATGTCAGAGTCAGACCCTGGTACATGGGATTCCAGCTCTACTACGTGAGCTATCAGAAGCCCTTAGATGGCTAGATTAAGAGCATCCATACAAATGTATTGTTTATGAGCGGGGAAAAGATGGTATCGTATTGGTATTGGCAGATACTCAAGGCTGCGGCATCGGTTTCAGATGTGAAAAACAGTAATCGAACCCCTCGTATTTTGGATGTCTTAGACAGTGGGCTGGGCACTTTGTATATGGATGACACAAACAAACCAGTCAGACATAACTCACTGTGAGAAAGACAGTTAACCACATATGTTGATAGTGACTCAGGCAAAAAGGTTTAATAGGGATAATGTTCAGTCTGCCCTCCATGATCTAAGTGTTTTGTAGTAATGTGCTGAATGATGTCAACAAGAAGATGACATAGGATGTGGCCCCACTGATATGTTTTATGAAAGTATAAAGTTTATAAATTTTAGAGTAAACTCGATCACATCACTCATCTTTTGAATTTTTTGTTATTTTGTGGAAACAAACTTTTGGTTTCCTCGCATAAAGAGATAACCTGTGTGTTGCCACATCATTTTAAAGATAGCAAGATAAGTGTAATACACCCTCCAGTGCTGTATTACACTGCTCCTGTCCTGTCTGCTCCTGTCTGCAAGTTCATAGGAAACTATAAAGACCGCTACGTGACTGTGAAGAGTGTCCATTCCCTGTTCACCAGATGCCCTCAGACTTTTCCACCTGTCCCAGTCACATGACTGCCACATGCACCTGCTCACCTGTTTCCACTTTCCTTCGTCAGAGTCTGTACCTGCCTGCACCCTTTTTTCTGCCCATTTCCTTTCCCATGGACCCTCAGTTAACTCTGTTCGGACTTGCTACCCATGCCAGTGAGGTTTTGTATTTTAATTTTTGTCAATAAATCACCAACTCTCAACGTTGTGTCTGCATTGATTGTCTGCATTTGGGTGCCTCCCTTGTTGCCTTGTACTCACCCGAGCAACATCCCCGCTGCTTTTAGCATCTCAGTGTGAATCTTATCTTCACCTAGCGGTTGGAGACAATGGAAAAACATCCTCACAGTTATTTCTGGCAGACTGATTGGTAAGGCTTCCCTGGAGTGCTCCTGCACCTATATGCTATATTCCTACCAAGTTCAGCAGTTCTCCTCTGGTGTAAACAGCCTGGGCATGACCCTGTTTTCCACTTCATGAGTCATCTGATGGTTTACCAGAACCTCATTGAAGTCACTCTCCATGCCCTTTCTGACCTGCTGATACTTCTCTGCTTTGGGGATTCCTGACCAGAAAGCAGGGTGCAAACAACATGGGAGACAGAGAGATCTTGGCTCTTCTGAATAAGACATGAGCTCCCCTGAAAACATGATTTGTGACATTTGGGGGGGTCTCTAAAATATTGACAAGATGCTACTTTTTCAATGCACTTCTCTTTTTCCGTCATCATCGTCATCAACGGGGAATAGTTCGCCCACTGCCTGAGAGGCCTCTTTATTGAGCTTTAAGTGTTCACAGTCAGTTCTCAGGTTTCACAACACAGTCACTGATGACATCCTGGCCACAACTCTGAGCAGCCGCCTCAGCAATGGAGTTTAATCATCCTATAGAATGAGCCGGACTGATTGAAACATGTTATATGTGGCTTTTGTTGCCTCTTGCCATATTTTCAAGCTTCTAGCATCAACCTGCCCAGGTTCATATATAAATGAGCAATTTGGCTAAATCTGGCACGTTTCCATCACAATGTTGTCAATTAGTGAGCATTGTCCCTGATATATTAGTGAAGAAAGATATCCTACTAATTGTGGGACAAAAAGGTTTCTGCTTCTCCAAGCACAGTCAGACAGGTTGATCCAAAGCCTGATCTAGTGTTGTTTTATTTAACTGATCATCTGTTGTTGTACTCTGATGTGGACGCTGTATTTTGCTCAGGGATTAACTGCTCAGATCAGGTAGACTGGTGAGCTGCATAGAATTTGTAGCCCATTATCAGAGTTTCTGTGTTTTTAATCTATCAAAAAGGCAAAAAAGAAGTAGACACACTATATATGAATTTCCGCTGTAGGATAACACATTTTTAGCCTCTTTTAGCTCATTGTTTTTGTTTTACGGCACATTAACTGTACAGTTGAGTGTCAGTGCTTTCTCACCAACCAGTATGTATGATTTATAATATATCATGTAATATATCACACTGAGCTCCAGACATCCTTAATAAGAATCTGAAATGAGGTCCAATGTCAGCCTGTCAAATTCCTCCTGTTCTTGACGCTTTCTTTTCTTCTATTAAATGGCAAAATCTCTTTCAGCTTAAGGGGTGCATGTTGTTTCATAATGCAAATGTTCACAAGTATAAAAAAAAACCTAACACTTTTTGTCAATAAATGGATTTTAAATCTACATAGGGGAAACAATGTATCTGTAAACTAAAGAGACCTACTCAGCAGACTGATTGAGCCAGCATCACTGTCTTGTGGCATAGATAAAAAAGCAATAAACTCAAATATTGTTGACTCTTGAATCTTACCAGCCTGCAGTGCATTTGAAGATCTGGTAATCACAAGCCATCCTGTGTGATTGGCCTGCACAGAAACAAAGGAAATAGGAATACTTGAGCCAAGCTGAAGAGCCTCTTATTCACTTTCTCATTTTGAACTATGGACATGCTCCATTGCTGGATATGGAATATGAGGCATAGTGACGACCCGATCAGAAAAACAGCTACATTCATTGCTCTTTCAAAAGCCTAATGTTGCAGTTTAATTATCTGTTTTATTTGTTTACATTACCCTCATATGCAATTACACATTTATATGCTTCTACTGTTGTACAAACAAAGTAAACAGACTGTGCCAGATGGTTTGAAGACTGAAACTGTTTAGAACAGGGTCGGCACTTTCAAAAGATACTGACCATTTATCACGTTCAAACCTTCAACCTATCAGATCGGCACAAAGTTTTGTACAGACATCCATGGTTCCCAAGATTTTGGTGATCTGACCCTGTCTTTTTCCTCAACCATGATGTTGACATTTGTGGTTTTGTGTGAAATGTCTCCATAACTGTAACATGGATTGCCATCACATTTGTTACAGATTAGTCTCCACAACAGGTATTGGTTTGATTCAAAATACATCTACAAGGATAATCTCTTCGGATTCGGTCTTGACTAGTCCTAGACTAGACTAGTCCTGGTCTTTGACTTGACAGTGGTAGTCTTGATTGTTATGTGCTGTTTGGTAGACGAGTACAGTCAGTTGTGGGACGGACAATAATGGAAAATATACCGCTAATTTACATTTTGTTTCACGTTTACAAGTAATGACTTTTAAACATCAATATCATTACATTTATAGAGGAGCCCTACCGACAGCAGGAGGTCAACAGAATGGAGCAAAGAGATAACACAATGATAATGCATGAGAGGCTGAAACTCTGGCTAATTCTGCTGTAATGTCACCTACAGTTAAGCTTTACAGCCTGCTGTAGGCTGTCTTCATATATCTAATTTGATTTTTCACAGGCAGGGCCATGTGTTGAAACCATCTGGTGTAATTTGGATAAAATGTTGTCCAGCACAGTGGAGTTAATGAATAGCATCAGTCTCTTAGCTCTTGTTAACTACACCTGTCTTAATTAACCCTATTTATTAATTAGCCCTGTCCATTGGGTGTCATGTTACTCTGATATATTTACAGTTAAAGATACTCGTGAAACTGCACTTTGCTTACATCCATGACACCAGTGCTGCATCTCTGATTTTTTTCATTTTTAATAATTTTGTTTTTTTAAGTCTGTGAATAGTGGTTTCATTAAGTCCTACAGATACACTCATAGATTTGACTATATGGTTAATGATAAATGGACTGTACTTATATACAACGTATAGCATATTTCTAGTCTTGCGACCACTCAAAGCACTTTACACTACATACCATATTCACCCATTTGCACACATTAATACAGAAATGACAAAGGCTATCACAAACGTAAAAAAGGAATTCAATCATGCCAAATGTCCGATTAGTGGACGATCAGCTCTACCTCCTGAGCCTCAGACAATAAGCCACACGGGAAAAAAGCATTCATTCAGACAGCGAGTC